GTCGTATTCTCCAGCAGCTTCATAAATCTGCCCCATCACCAAATCTTCAAGCAACAAGGTCCACAAAAGATAAACATCCAAACATGAAGAATATGTGTAGACCTTGAGACCAAGAGACAATCAGAGCTGTTGTGAAAAGAGCAGCTGGCTCGAGCCAAAACCAAAACATGATGAATCAATCGGCCTCCTCCAACCAGCGCAGGTCCGCCGAGGTCGCCTGGTTTCATCTCCTCATCTCTTTGCTGTGGAAATTTACACTCTGAATTTTGACCGTTGAGTTTGAGGGCTTGAAAATCTATGTGCTGAATATTTAAAAGCTGATTTTTTTTTATTTTGAATTTGAAACATATTGAAAAAGTATATTTAAAATTTCAGCAACTAAAATTCAGAATAATTTTCAGAGTTAAAAAATTCAATGTGAGAAATTCAGCTGTATTTAAAATTCAGAAATTAATGGAACAAATTATTTCCATAGGTTCTTCCTTGGTGTGAGCCTTGAAGGTGGAAAAGTGCTGTAAAAGTAAATTTTTTTATTTACCATAAATCAAAATCAAATATCGTATTATATCTTATTATTATTATATCTTTAGTAGAGCTCCGTCTGGTTATAAAAGCAGAAACAGTATAAAGGGCTGTGGAGATTCAGTGCACGAAGAAGTGAGGAGAGGGGGATGCACGGTGCACAGAGAAAAAGTGAGGAGCACTGGGCTGTTAAACCAGGACTAAACAAGGACTGTTTGTCGGGACTGGCCCGAAGGTGCGCCCATGTAGACTGTCAGGTGACCGCAGACCAAGACCGCAGACTAGAGATGCGCGGATGGGCTATTTTTTCATCCGCAACCGCGACACAAAACTCATCATCCGCCCGCTGTCCATTTTGCACCGAAGGTTTTCAAAACCGCACCCGCCCGCCACCCGCCGATTGATTTTAGATTTTAGAACAATCATACAGCAAACAAACTAAGGAGCCTCGATAAAAATGCAAACTCTATAGCTCATTCATTCCAAAATTTGCTCAGCGTGTATGTTCGCATTCTTAATTGTCCGTAACAACCCCAAACTTACCTGGTTTTCTTGCGCAGCTAATTCATTGACAATGTTTTCCGACTAGGCTGTTTTTGAACCTTCTTCCCTTCGTGTTGGATGTTGTTACATTCTGAACATTCTGCCATTGCCCGATGTTATTTCAAAGTCATAGCCTCACTCCATCGGTCTTTCTTTAAGTTTTAAAAACCCAGAGTGTCAGTCTACGCTATAATGTCTGCGTGTTTTAAAATATAACTGATATCGAAACTAAATAGACAAATCATCTCATCCAGATGAACCTTTACTGAAATCAGGCAATGTCCTCTTTATATTCCAATTGAAATAGGCAAGAAAAAAAAATATGCATAACTAAATAAATACGGCCTATAGCCACTTATGTGTTGGCAAACAGCCGAAATAAATTAGAAATAATAAAATAAACTGCATATAATATGTGCCTCGTAAACCTTAGGCATCAATAACCCGACACAACCTGAACCTTCAGAACATAAAAACGAGGTCAAATGGGCTAATTAAGGACATGACGTACACTTCATACTACAAGCACAGACAATGACACTCGTCTTTTCAGATGTAGGTAACAATACTAATAATAACTTTTTTTTTTTTTTTTTTTTTTTTAGTAGTTAAACCGCCACCTGCCCAAATTTAATTAAAATATAATTTTTCGTCACGTCATCCGTCCGACCCGCGGATTAACCGTGGATACCGCGGTTGTAACCGCAATCCGCGCATCTCTACAAAGGACCACGCCGAGGTCGGGGCCCTGCACTGCACGGGGCTCAGTGCAGCTGTCGCCTGATTGCGCTTTGAGGACACTCTCTCACTCCCTCTCGCTCTCTCTCAATTCCAAGATTAGTCCTGGTTTAGTCCTGGTTTAGTCCTGGTTTAGTCCTGGTTCCGCTGCAGATACAGTTTGCTGCTTTGTCTGGTTCGCTCTCTGTCTGTCCAATCACAGGTCTGAATCCGGTGACGTCGTTCGCTGCTAAAGGCCCTGGCGATACCAACTCAAAGTCTGATTGGTTGAAGCAACAGTTTCATGGACATTTATTTTGTGTTCGAGTTCCTGCAGAACGGATTGTGAAGGCCTCAGGGACACTTATTTGACTTTGACTCTGCCTAGCAACAAGTGATGCTGAAATGTGATTGGTCAAAAGCTTTAATATGAAAATCCATGTCTGGAAGCAACACAAGCATCGGAAAAGCTCTGAAAGGAAACGGACAGACCATTTGGAATTATGTAATAATAATATAATTAACACCAGTCTGTGATTCAGATATGTTTTTAGGCCAGCAGAGAAAACTTGAAGGCCCTGATGCCCCACTAATGTGAAAATCGTCTTTACCAACACAAAAACACAGAGTGGTGAGTAAAGGAGCCTCTCTGTTCACACTCACAGTGAAGCCAGGAAGTTACAGAGGGACGAGGAGCGAGGGACGTACAGAGCCACCAGAGACGACAGAGCGAAGACCTGCACACAGAACACACAGGAGTCAAGTCACAAAAACTGCAAGACACTTCACATTGTCTAATATGAAAGTGTTGTGTGTGAGTGACGGTGGTCGGAGGGGCCGATGGAGCAGTCTTTGAGTGTCCAAAAAAACGCAATTTAAATTATTATTAACATTACTGAAATAACTGTTAATAAGCACTTAATCATTTGGATTATGACGTGAGAAAAGAAGCATATTCACAGTTTTATTTTTTCTCCACAAAACATCTTAACATCTGTAATAATTGCGACTATTCAAACCACGACTCATTTTTGTGTATTTGTGGAGGGAGGACATTACCGGGTACATGCCCAGGATCCAGAGGGACAACTGTCGTCGCCGGGGAGACTGGACTTTACGCAGGAAGAAACCGACCTCCTCCAGAAACAGAGCGAGTGTGATCAGAGCCAGACCGGCCGGGATCAGGAACAACCACAGCTCATCTTTGATCGCTACAAGAAGGAGAAGAAGAAGGAGAAGTAGTAGTAGAAGTAGATGTAGTAGTAGTAGTAGAAGTAGTAGTAGTAGAAGAAGTAATAGAAGTAGAAGTAGACAGTAGTAGAAGTAGTAGTAGACATAGTAGTAGAAGTAGAGTAGTAGTAGTAGTAGTAGAAGTAGAGTAGTAGTAGTAGTAGAAGTAGTAGTAGAAGTAGTAGAAGTAGTAGTAGTAGAAGTAGATGTAGTAGTAGAAGAAGTAGTAGAAGTAGAAGTAGACAGTAGTAGAAGTAGTAGTAGAAGTAGAGTAGTAGTAGTAGTAGTAGAAGTAGAGTAGTAGTAGTAGAAGTAGTAGTAGTAGAAGTAGAGTAGTAGTAGTAGAAGAAGAAGTAGAAGTAGACAGTAGTAGAAGTAGTAGTAGAAGTAGACAGTAGTAGTAGTAGTAGTAGTAGTAGAAGTAGTAGTAGTAGTAGTAGTAGTAGAAGTAGTAGTAGAAGTAGAAGTAGACGTAGTAGTTGTAGTACTAGAAGTAACACAAGTAGTAGTAGAAGTAGAAGAAGTAGTAGAAGTAGTAGTGGCAGTAGTAGTAGAAGTAGATATAAATGCAGAAGTAGTAGTAGAAGTAGAAGAAGTAGTAGTAGTAGTAGTAGTAGTAGAAGTTTTAAAAACACATATTTCATGATTTATATCTTGAGACAAAGGTGATGTTTGGAAAATAGAGCATCATTTCCAGCAATTTTGTTCCCTAAAGCTGCACTGTGTAACTTTTTGGTTGGGGTCTGTCACCTGCTTGTTTCTATGGAGATGTCACTGTTCTGCCTGGAATGTTCCACAGTGTGACTTTAATCAGCTCTGTCTTACTTTTATTCAATTACAGGTGTTTTTATGGCTCAAAAGTACCTAGAAAAACAAACATTCTGGTTTGGTCTCCATGAAGATAGAAAGGTTTAATGCCACACTGTGAAACATTCCAGGCAAAGCAAAAACATCTCCATGGAGAAAAGCGTTTGATGCATCCGCTACCAGAAAAGTTACACAGTGCAGCTTTAGTTGCATGTTCTGAGAGGAGTTCTCACCGCTGAAGATCTCCGAGGACAGAGGAATCTCCGGCCCGATCCAGCTGCAGTTTAACCTCATGGTGTCTGAGGGTTAAGAGCACCTGTCACACCTGTAGAAGCACCTGTCACACCTGTAGAAGCACCTGTCACACTGTAGGAGCACCTGTCACACTGTAGGAGCACCTGCCACACTGTAGGAGCACCTGTCACACTGTAGGAGCACCTGTCACACCTGCAGAAGCACCTGTCCTCACACCTGTCCTCACACCTGTAGGAGCACCTGTCACACCTGTAGAAGCACCTGTCACACTGTAGAAGCACCTGTCACACTGTAGGAGCACCTGTCCTCACACCTGTCCTCACCCCTGTAGAAGCACCTGTCCTCACACCTGTAGAAGCACCTGTCCTCACACCTGTAGGAGCACCTGTCCTCACACCTGTAGGAACACCTGTCTTCAAACCTGTCCTCACATCTGTAGAAGCACCTGTCTCACACCTGTAGAGCACCTGTCCTCACACCTGTAGAAGCACCTGTCCTCACACCTGTTGGAGCACCTGTCCTCACACCTGTAGGAGCACCTGTCCTCACACCTGTCCTCACACCTGTCCTCACACCTGTCCTCACACCTGTAGGAACACCTGTCTTCAAACCTGTCCTCAAACCTGTCCTCACACCTGTAGAAGCACCTGTCCTCACACCTGTAGAAGCACCTGTCCTCACACCTGTAGAAGCACCTGTCCTCACACCTGTTGGAGCACCTGTCCTCACACCTGTAGGAGCACCTGTCCTCACCCCTGTAGGAACACCTGTCTTCAAACCTGTCCTCACACCTGTAGAAGCACCTGTCCTCACACCTGTAGAAGCACCTGTCCTCACACCTGTTGGAGCACCTGTCCTCACACCTGTAGGAGCACCTGTCCTCACACCTGTCCTCACACCTGTCCTCACACCTGTAGGAGCACCTGTCCTCACCCCTGTCCTCACACCTGTCTTGTTTTCACGCTGTTCGTTCAGACTTCATGCTCTTTCTTCTTCTCTGTAGACTCGACTAATGATTGACTAGACACAGGTGAGGACGGTCCAACAGGGTCCCAAAGTCCATCTGAGGAGTCATAAAAGAGGAGGCGTCCTCATGTAGTCCTGGTCTCAATGTAGCCTCGGTGTAGTCCCTATTTCATCCCGGTTTCATCCCTGGTGTAGTCCTGGTTCAGTCTTGGTTCAGTCCTGGTTTATCCTGGGTGTAGTCCTGGTTCAGTCTTGGTTCAGTCTTGGTTCATAGCTGGTGTAGTCCTGGTCTAATCCTGGTGTAGCCCTGGTTTAGTCCTGATCTATTCCTAATGTAGCCCTAGTGTAGTCCTAATGTAGTCCTGGTTCAGCCCCAGTTTAATGCTTTTTTGTTTTTTTTTAGTCCTGGTCTAGTGCTGAAATAGGGGGCAGGGTGAAAAAAAGGGTTAATTGTTAATTAATTAGTTATCACTTCCTAAAAATATTTTAAAATAAAAAAAATATGTTTAATAATTGTACAGTGAGAAAAAATGTAACTAAACCATAAAAGAAAAAACAGTTACAACTCAAATTCTATTTAATCCCCCCAACAGTCATAGAACTATAGTTACATTCTTAACTTTTTTGTTTACACTGAGGCCCCCTAGTGGACTGTGGGCCCCAGTGCATGTGTTATTTCACTGTAGTATTTTATTTTTCTTTGCGGCGCTTTGTCACAGCCGGACCAACAGGAAAAGTCTCGGATTCATTTTATTTACTGAAAATCGTTTATTTAAAAAGTGTATAGAAAATAGAGCAGATATACAAAACGGTAACAGTGTATGTACATGAGACAGGTGCAGGGGGAGGGGTTAGAGGCAGTGGCAGGTGCAGGGGGAGGGGCTAAAGGCAGCGGCAGAGGAGCCAGGTGAGGACGATGATCCAGTGACTGGTCCAGTGCAGCTCAGACCATCTCTGCAGGGTGTGGGCCGCCGCGTAGCCCTGAAACACAGAGAGAACAACCAAATCACACCGGAAGATCTAAATAAAATAAAATACATTTGAACAGCTGCTGAACAGCTTTGTATGAATAAAAGTTTCAACATTATGGTCCAAAATCAGGCAGTAAATAGCCGTACTACACCCAATTAAAGGCCCAACCAGGATATGGGCGGAACCAATATCATGGAACTGATACCCAATCAGCCGACAGCTAATTTTTTCAGTATCTGTGCCGATATTCAATGCCAGAATCGGTATCGGTGCATCCCAAAGTGTAAATAACGCTAAAAACAGTGACGTCCAGGACACACTTAGGCAGAGGCACACTTGTATATCTTTCACTTGTACCAGGTTTGTAAAACAGCCTTAGGTCATGTGGCTCTTACCATCTCCGCCTCCTCCTCCGTGAGCCCGGGGTCGAACATGGAGCCCAGGTAGGTCAGGTGCAGCACGGCCAGGAACGTGAAGCACAGGTTCAACGCCACCACCCACAGGTCCTGCAGAGGAGAGCGCAGAAGGACTTCAGAAGGACTTCAGGACTTCAGGGTTTGGGCTCGATTCATACAACACATTTTTTCTTTCCATTCAAATCTCCTTTACTCTTGTTTTAAAGGAGTAACTTTTCTGGAGGCTCCATGTTCCACAGTATGGCATGAAACCTTTCTATCTTCATGGAGACCAAACCAGACCAAATTACAAGTCAAATCTCTGGAGAGGCGACCCCTCTCAGAGTCAGAGACTGTGGCTCCACCTGTGTTTTCCACACTTCAAAACCAGAACTAAAACCAGAACTAAACCAGAAATAAACTAGAACTAAAACCAGAACTAAAACCAGGGCTAAAATCAGGACTAAAACCAGGACTAAACCAGAACTAAAACCAGACCTAAACTAGAACTAAACCCAGGACTAAAATCTGATCTAAACCAGGTCTAAAATCAGGACTAAAACAGGATTTAACCAGGACTAAACCATGGGCTGCGCCTCCTCTTATATGTTGCCTGTCCGTGAAAATATTGTCCCGAAAAGCAAAGAGCGAACCGGTCATTGACACAAAAAATGTTGGGGACCACTGGTATATTACCCAAAATTGACTCTCCTCAAAAACAGACCTGGAATTGTGTTTTGTTTCATTCACACGTGTTTGATTAAATCTTTATTATTAGTCTGTTCTACATCTCTAAAGCTGAAAATGCTCTGTTCCACCTTGTGATGTCATGTAGTTTTCATGTGATTCTAGTGAAGGTGTGTGGAGTTTTCTGTTTGAGAGAAGAACTCGGAGCGGGTGTCAGTGTGCGGTTCTGTGTGGTACCTTTTTGTGCTGGTGGGTGCAGCCGGGGGGACAGGGTCGGGAGAGCACGCACGCACTCAGGATGACCGCCAGCTTCTTTCTCAAAACTGAGGAGAGACAAACGCAAAACAGAGAATGAGCCAGAGTGAAACATGGAGCTGCGTGCATGTGCATGATCGCGTTTGTGTTTTTACCGTGTTCTGTGTACGTGAGGAAGCCCAGAGACAGAAGCACGGCCCCCAGGTGGAAGCTCAGGCCCTGGGGAGAGAAGGAGCAAGAAGGTTATGAGTTTGATCCTCCAGCTGAGGCAGTCCTGACCAAGACTAGCTCAGGATCCAGAGATGGGCCCCCAAGAACTGCTCTGTGGTTCTCACTGCACCAGAGAAAGTTGGGTCAAACGCAGGACACATTTTGTAGCTGGCGATAAAGTTATTATTTTATCCGTTCAAATATTAAGATGTGTCAGAAAACCACTGTTATTCACTTTATGTTATTAGGTTCTTTTTACAGACCAAGAGTTTGTTTTCATACCTGACAGTTTCGACTGCTCCCTGTGTTCTTCCTCAGAGTCTCATGATGTTGCTGTGACGTGTTGTTCAGCTGATTTAAACAGGTTTTGTCTCTGTCTTCCTACCGGTGGAGACAGGACGACAGCACCACCTGCAGTCCCACTTCCTCAGGACAGGACGCCAAAACCTGTATAAATCTGCTGACTGGACACATTTCAGCAACATCAAGAGACTCTGAGGAAGAGCACAGGGAGCAGTCGAAACTGTCAGGTATCAAAACAAACTCTTGATCTGTAAAAAGAACCTAATAACATAAAATATCCGAAGACCAAACGAATCTCATTGGACTGTTATTCATTTTCCATCCATCCATTTCTTTCACTTGACCTCCCAGACTTCCTTCACTCCAGACACTTCCTCCAGCTCCAGTGGGGGACCCCAAGGTGTTCCCAGGCCAGCCCAGAGACACAGTCCCTCCAGTGTGTCCTGGGTCTTCCCTGGGGCCTCCTGATGGGACATGCCCGGAACATCTCCCGAGAGAGGCGTCCAGGAGGCATCAGAACAGATGCCCTCCCCTCAAATGCTCCTCTCAACTCCGACTCTCAGACTCTACTCCGAGCTCTTCCCGTGTGTCTCTAAGGGAGCGCCCAGCCACCCTGTGGAGGAAACTCATTTCGGCCGCTTGTATCCGTGATCTTGTTCTTTCGGTCATTACCCAGAGCTCATGACCATAGGTGAGGGTTATTCATTTTTATATATTTTATTTGTAAAAATTATTTACCTTTATGAGTCATGTGGCTTTAACTTTGCCCCGTAAGTACACAGAGAGGGAGAACCGCAAAAGAGAGAAAAAGATGATACAGAGAAACGCAGAAAAAGTGTAAAGAAAAGACGTCAAACTGGCTCATGGTGTTGATGGAGCTGAGGTAGCCTGATTCATCAGCCGGGTTTACGTCGTTTCACTTCATAGAAACTGTCTGACCGCGCAGCCTTAGTAGTGTATTCTGATTCCTGACCTAGTCACTGGAGAGAAATGAAATTGAGCGGAGGCACTAGGTGGCGCCAGCCTGACTAGAGCTGAGGGTGAAAAAGAATAAATATTGACACACATGATCATCAGTGTGAAGCGTAAAGTATGAAGAGTCTTTTTTTTTTATTATCCAGTAAATTTCCTAGTATCAAAGTTTGAAATTTTAGTATCATGACAGCAGTATTGTGGAGTAAACTATGGTACTTTAAAAACCGTACTCACGTGCAGCAGAGCACTGGCTGTGTAGGTGACCAAGATGGCGGAGAAGGTGCCCAGTCTCATGGCGTTTTTAAACACATCTGAGGAGCACAGACAGAACAGATTAAACCTCAACATGCACCATCACAGAGCAGAGAGGAGCTGTGTGAAGGGTGAAGCTCACAGGTCTTGAGCCACTGGGACATGGGGATGTTCCAGGAGGTGACCACCAGCACCAGAGAGCGCGGCATCTCCACCTGCAGAGGTCTGACCACACTCATGTCCCTGCACACACCACAGACAACACACACTGAGCTTCTGACTGCGGTAAAGGTAGAATCTGTGACACCTGTGGATCGATTCTGGACAGTTTAAAGTGCGGGTATTATGCCAAATCCACTTTTTGGAGCGTTCTACCATGTTATATGTCTAATGAGAACTTAACAGAACGCTGCAGTTGCGTGAAAGAAAAAATTAAAATTCCATGACATTTTCAAAACTTTCATTTGAATTTACAAGATTCCATGACTTTTCGAGGATTTCCATGACCATGGGAACACTAAAGAGGTTTAAACCTAAACCTTAAAGTTGGTTTAAACACAAAAGGAGTGTATGGGGGTAGGGGAGGAAAAATGGTGTCTTGAATGCAGAATGAAATCTAAATACAACTTCAAGTGAGTAAATGAGAAGAGGAAACATTATAACATGGCTAAAAGCTCTGAGAAGTCCATTCTGCAAAAAAGGTTTCTTTTAAATAAAACCCTGGTGTGTGGTCAGAGGCCTCACCAGTGCGTCTGCTCCTTGTCCTGTGTGAAACCTGCTCCCGCCAACATGCTGGTGACCTCGCTCAAGTGACCCACGAAGTAGTTACTGAAGTGGAAGGAGACGGCGTTCTCGTAGGCACGCAGCCATCTGGAAACAACAGGGACACGTGTTTAGAATGTCACTGCTGTGATCCTCAGGCTTCAGGACACAGAGGAGGGACACTTCTGTCCTGAGGACTGTTACTCCCCTCAGACCACCCTGACACTGGACCTGTTGACTCGAACTGTTGAGCTGCACTGAGACTTTTGAGCTTTGATATTATTATTGTATTTTACTGCTCTATAAACTTAAACTGCCCCTAAGAGACAAATAAAACAAACAAAGCTCATCAATTCTCAGCCAGGGCCAGGAGAGCAGATGCACCACAGAGCCAAAGGTGCTTCATCCCCCGTTTACATTAAACCAGCTCCATGGACAGAGTTACATAGATGGACACTGTGCACCTACTCATTCATGTGGGATTTCTGTGGAAATCTCCCTGTTTCTTGTCTTTTTACAACATTCACAAATTAACGAGGAAATGGAGCAACATGGAAACGTCCTGAGCTGAAGGACGACACCTCCACATGTGCTTCCATGACAACGGCAGATTCAGAGACAACTTTAAATCTCATATTTATGACTTTTAAACAGGTAATTATGAGTTTAAAACTCGTAATCATACATTTAAATCTCGAAATTATGAGTTAAAAACTCAGATATTTTGAGTTGAAAACTCTATTCACTGCAGATTTACTGAAAAAAACTATATTATTTTACTATCATTTTCACAACATTCACCTTGTCCTGTATCATGTATTTGCAGACTTTATTGCACAATAGGCTGTGATTTTCTTTAATGAGACTGCAAGACTTTCTTGGTCAGTTTTCTGTGGATTTGTTGGATATCAGATCATCTATGAGAAATGAGTGATCACGTGTTCACACCGGGTCAGTGCTTCTGCACAGGAAGCAGTACATATTTAAACCACCAGATGGTGCTAAAGAACACAGCAACAGAGTTGGAAATGTGTTACAGCTTGGGGCCTCGTCTACACATCAGTACCTGTCAGTACCTGTCAGTACCTGTCAGTACCTGTCAGTACCTGTCAGTGAGCTCTCCGCCGCTGATGGGGACGATGGCGGGGAAGAGGTATGGAGCCACACAGCTGGACACCACCAGACACAACAGACTCTTCAACAAACCTCCAGCACAGGCCACGAACCAGCTCAGAGACTGTACACAAACACAAACACACACACACACACACACAAACACACACACACATGCACACACAGATCAGATTTCTGGTGTGTATTGTAAACGTCGGCGGTGAGAGAGGGACGAGGGCGTCTGACTCACCAGCGCCTTCCCCTCCACGGCGCTCGTGTAGTGGGAGAAAGAGCTCCAGGGCCCGAACACGGCGCTGCCCACGAACAGCACATAACCCAGGAACTGAGGGAGGGAGGGCATCTGGCTCACGGCTCCACTGTCCAGGTCAAAGGCCAAAGAGATGACCTTCATGGCCACCACCATCTGACTCCCTGCAAAAAAAAAAAAAAAATTATATAATAAAATATATAAACAGTGCATCCTAATGGAGGACCACAAAATCACATCACATCAGGTTTGTCAAGTTGCTGTGTACAGTCTTGCATCTAACCATAAGGAGGGTTTGAACAGGGCCCAGGAGAGATCTCTAGATTACTCAAACGTGCATGGATGACATAAAACCACTAAAAAAGTCAATTTTGCGTAATACCCCGTCTATAAGAAATTTGATTTCATTTTGCTCACCTCTGATTTTAGCCCAGGTCACAGGGTCCACAAAATGCAGCTCCCTGAGAGAAAAATAATCATTTAGAACAGTGTCAAATGCTTTTCTCCATGGTGATGTAATGAATGTAACCCGTAATGAATGCTAGATGGCTATGTTTAAGGCAAACCAATAACATCTCCATGGAGACAAGTAGGAACCCTCCACCAGAAATGTTGCACAGTGAAGCTTTAAGGAGCCAGTCCGTGACGGTCTTACCCGGTGAGGAGGAAGAGCAGCAGGAGCAGAGACAGGAGCACACCCCTGCCTCTGGAGCGCTGGTTCAGATGGAGGAGGAGGTAGGACAGGGCGCAGAGCAGCAGCACCCACAGCGTGTGCACCTCGAAGAACAGGTAGAGGGCGCTCACACCCAGCCCGGCAGAGACGAGGTGTTTCAGGGACGAGCTCCAGCCTGGACGCGGGGAGAGGGACAGAAACACAAAAACAAACTTTATTTTGTTTAACTTGTTGTTGCGTGTTCAGAAAGAGTTCCTTGTGTTTAAGTTGTTTCTGCAATTTAAATGGACATTTGCCACGTTTACATGTGAGCTTTAATTCTGGATAAAAATAATTTAATTCTGAATAAAAAAGAACTTTAAAAAGACCATGTAAACACTTAATTCCTAATAAAAATTATTATTCGGAATCAAACTTAATTCCGAAGAAAGTGGGTGGTTTATTCCGATTTGAAAAACTGAATCAATTTATTTCTCGATCATGTAAACGTTTATTCTTCTTAAAAATAATTGAGGTCGTTCATTAAAAGTAAAAAGGTGAGAGTAGTTCCTCACGTGTGTCTGTTTACCTCCACACAGCGCACAGATCGAGGTGAAGCTGCAGATTAGCGACAGTGACTCTACTTCCTGTCGAGTCTATCTCCAAACTTTATGCTTTTAAAATCCTGTATCTGAAGTTTTGCTGCACATTTCACAAATAATAATATCACAGTTTTGACTTGGATCTAAACAAGAAGTGCAGAGTCTGATGTTTGAACACTTAAGTCTCAGAGCGAGTGGTTGTACTGTAGACAGCGAGGTGCGCTCACAACTTTATATCCTGTGGTCCCCAGACAGATCCCGCTGCAGTCTTTGTGATCGGAGATTTTAAATCTCATTAGATTCTCCTCGTGTTTGTGGTGTGCACTTTTTGTCACACGGTTAAAAACTATTTAAGGCTCAAAAATCCTGTAGTGTGTGGTGGCCTTTACTTACTTATACTCAATAAAGTTTCAGATACCACCATAATAATAAAAAATACTTTAATTATATTATTTACTGTATTTTCCACACCATTAGGCGCTCTGGATTATAAGACCGTCAGAATAATTTTATTATCCCATATTTGCTAAATACTTGTGTGATATTCTAGGCCTATGAGTTAACCATTTATGTACTACAATTCTTTGATTTATAATGTACCAATCACTTGTCACTTGTTGAATAACCTCTGTGTGTTTGACAACTGTGTGCAGTGTCCTATCGCTCTAGTGAACCTCGAGATGATTCCTCACATGAAGCCAACTTCCACTGTCACACATGCAAGAGTTATGATGGTGTCTGACCTAAGGCACCTCCTGATTGTTAATCATGTTTTATGTATTTGTACTATGCTTAGCTGCATCAGTTTCTTATCATGTCTTTGCTGTTTCCCCTTCCCCTTGAGAATTATCGTTCTGTAACTAGGGCCTCCTAATGAAATAAAAAGAGGAGAACGGCCTTGAGTCATCAGAACGTGTGGAGACTGTTGGTTTTGATGCCCACTCTCTGCCCGTTCTCCTCGCGAGTAAAACTGAATTAATCTCTTGTCTTTCTTCTTGTTTACAATGTTTAGATAAACCTAACAAAGACACACTGTCATTAAATGGTCTATTTTCAAACTTTTTTTCACAAATAAACCAAACTGGACTTTAAAGGAAACCCAACAGTGTGATGGGTGAGTGGTTTTGTTTGTTTGTTCGTTCACGGTGACTCTGGGCTTTGTTCAGTTGTGGCGTGTAGGGAGGGTGTGTCTGGGACCAACGGATTGTCGGCGTGTTCGCAGTGACTCAGTTGTTCAGTCGTGTCTAGAAGCGGCACATTGCGCTCGCTTTTTCGGTTCGTTCCTCCGTTCCGTTCCTCGTCGGCGTGGAGTGATGAGTGTGTCTGTGGGTGTGTTTCGCTGTGCGGTCGCTGTCTGCTCTGTGTGTGTTTGTGTGTTCTGCGGGTGGTGCGGCTTTGTAGTTTACTGAAGTCGTGCTGGGACACCCGAGTGGATTCGTGTATAGGGCGCTCTGGATTGTGGCGCGCAGCCGTTTTTTGATTGGGTTAGAGGCTTAAGAGCGCGTCTAATAGCCCGGAAAATACAGTAATTGGACAATAGAGAAGTTAGTTTCAATATTAAATGGTAGTACTTTCTTTTAAATTACTACTATACTAGTCTATGAGCTCTTAGACTACGTTTTACACCGTATGTATTTACAGACAGTCTTTCTCTATCCAGCACACAGCTTTGAGCATATTTGTTTAGTTTCTGTCGGACTAAAGGACACGACTCAGTGGAATATGAGTGTTCTTTCTGTGACAGAGGGGTGTTCTGCTGATGGTGAGTCTGTTCTGTGTTTCTGTCGTGTTGGAGATGGTTCATGTTAAACTTTTCAGAGATTATACGTCTGCAGGTCGTACACACAGACACACGTTTATATAAATGGACAGATATTCTAGTCTCTTAGTGTTTTGTCGATAAATGACTTCACGGCGCAGAGATCTACATCAGAGTATCAGTGTTTTCAGGAGTCCACACGGTGCCGGATCAGATCTGTACTCAGATGAATTCGTGGGAGCTGGAGGCACCAGATCGTTCCATCTTTTTAGCCATTTTCCATCGGATTAGTGTGAACGAACACTGCATCCACAACAAAAACAACTTGAATACGAACTAGTGTGGACGGGGCCTTATACTTGTTCTGACACAGCTCAAGATGATTCTAAAATGATCATTTCTGTCCTGTGAATGTGACTTTTTTAGTATCGATACCTGCTCAAACGAGGATCAAGTTTCGATATTAGTTTCAGTATCGATTAGTGTCTGATTTTCGATACTTTTGACCACACTTTAGACGTTCATGCTGTTGTGAGTCTTACCGATCCTGAAGCAGATCCTGCAGAGTCCGCAGAGCAGCAGCAGCCCCCACAGCTGCTCCAGGCCCTGCTGTACCGTGCCCAGGCCACAAGAGCGCGCCAGCTCCCCCCACAGCTCCAGGCGGCTCCACACGTCCATGCCCCCGTCCATGCCCTCGTCCATGCCCTCGTCCATGCCCACGTCCATGCCCACGTCCATGCCCACGTCCATGCCCCACGCCTCAGAGTCTGCGCGCCCGGCAAACGGCTCTGGGGGCTGCACACACAAACGGAGATAATAGAAAAATGCATTGCGTAACTTCTCCATCAAATTCTTTTCTTCATGGAGATGCTCTTGCTTTGTCTGGAATGTTTCACAGTACGGCATTAAAACTTTCTATCTTCATGGAAACCAAACCAGACCAAGTTACAGGTCAAATCTGTGGAGAGGCGACCCCGCTCACAGTCAGAATGTTGTTTTTCTGGGTATTTTTGAGCTACAAAACCATCTGTAATTGTAAGTAATAAATGTAAAGTAGAGCTGTTTAAAGTCACACTGTGGAACATTCCAGACAGAGCAATGGCATCCCGAAGTTACACTATAAAGATTTATGGCTGTTATTAAAATGTTGTGTTCCAAACAAAACTACATTCTACATTCAGGTGTGTACTAGTCACTTACATTTACTTGAGTAATTTTTTATACTTTTCAGAGTACTTTTCTGACAGCATACTTTTACTCCTACTTGAGTAATATTTGTTTTGAAGTAACAGTACTCTTACTTGAGTAAAAGTTGTGCTTTTCTTCCCACTGTGAGTGAGTCTAAGCTTCGTGTGACAATATGAAATTATTTGAACATTTGTGTTTCTTGCAGCTCCTTCACATCTGATTTAGTTTGTCTCATTTTTGTGTCTGTCCTTTAAAAAACAGCAGATTTTGTGACTTATTTTTAATATTAAACTGACTTCAAGTTATAAATCAGATGTTACGTCCTGACAGTTACTCTACAACTTTGTACTTGAGCAGACTACTATTATTTTGAAGGAATATTACTTGTTACGTAGTTGATTGTTTTGGGGACGTAATATCTGATTCATCATTTGAAGTAATTTAATTTGAAGGACAAAACATTTAATAATGCACAAAATCTGGTATTTTCAAACAGACACGACCAAAAACAAATCAGATCGGAAGAAGCTGCAAGAAACACAAATGTTGAGATCATTTCGTATTGTCACTTAAATCTTTTGTCACTTTCGACTCACAGTGTGAAGAGGAAGTTTACTTACTTTCTTACTTTTACTCAAGTAAAAGTACTGTTACTTCGTGGCAAAAGGAGAAATTGAATTTGTCAACTGTTTCGACTAGATAAACTTTTGTCCACTTGACAAATTGAATTTCTCCTTTTGCCATGGATTCTACCTGGACGACTGAGAGATTTTACACACATCTACTGTTACTTCAACACAAATATTACTCAAGTAGAACAGGGTGACTAGACGTCCCTTTTTACCAGGGACAGTTTCAGTTTTGAGCCTGTGTCCCCTGTCCTAGCAGATTTATCCAAAACCACTGATTTATCCCAGTTTTATACAAGAAATGTCCCAGCCAGGTGTGACCAATTTGATCTAAACCAGGTCTAAAGCAGGACTAAACTAAGACTAAACCAAGACTAAACCAGGACTACATCAGGTCTAAACAGGACTAAAACAGGAGTATCACAATTTCTGACTAATCTGATCCTCGCCAACAGTAAAGAGGAGCATAAATTATCATTTCTTTGGCAAAATACAGAAATCCATGTTTGCAAATGACCATAAAGCAAAAAAAAAAAAAATGCTATGACAGAAGCTCCTCAAATTATGACTGACACGAGAATGCACAATGTTTCACGCTCTTTTCACAATTTTATTTATACCAACCATCCCAACCCGGGTCACCCTAAGTAGAAGTAAAAGTATGCTGCTAGAAAAGTACTCTGAAAAGTAAAATTCCTGTAAAAAGTGACTCAGGTAAATGTGAGGATTGCGCACTTTTGGTCAGGTTTATGGATTGCACACTCCTGCAGCGCAACAACAGATCCGAGAGAAAAAAAAGTAAGACCGACCCGAGTTTGTCTTCGCTCCCAGAGAACGCACAGTCCCCCCCGGCTGTGCCCACACCTACGCCCCGGTAAACACAAGCCCCCGCCGCGGAGACATGATGGAAGACGCGTGGAAGAGGCGGACCAGCGCGGGACACGCAGCCGGACCAGAGTCTCCGGGGCGCCGCGACAGACTGTGGCTCTTACCGGCAGCGGGGCTCGGTGCTCCGGGTGTGTGCGGGCGCATATGCGGGCTCTCCGGTTCCTCTGTGCGCCGTGGAGCCGTGGAAGAGCCGCGGAGGAGGAGCCGTGGAGCCGTGGAGCAGGAGGCGGGACGTCCGGCGCGCTTCTTCGGCTGTGTGAGGGGGTTGGCTCGGGTTGGGCGCTCACTACCGCACCGGAGTATCCCTTTCACTTTAGACGATAGATTTTACTAAAACACACTTAATTCATTCAAAACATTTAAGATAGCTAAAAAAATATATAATTATTTTTCGATTTTGGTCATTTTTGAGGTTTAAAATTAAAAAAATAAATTAAAAAATAATTGTAAATAAATAAAATACATAAAAAATAAGAAAGAATAGAGAATAAAGAATTAAAAAATAAAATAAAAACAAAACAAAAAAGGTTTAAAAATTTTACTTCCGGGTCGGAATGACGACTTCACGCTCGGGAATTCCGCAAATGTTACCTAGCAACAATGTTATACAGCGGTCTAAAACTCCTTTATTTACAAATAAAAATAGAAGAAACACCTTCATTAAGCTGAAATAATGTTTAAAATATCAAAAATAAGGTGTTTCTTTTGTGTAATTTGTGACACAAAAGAAGAATAGACCCTTTGAAAACGTGTAAACAAAACATTTTAAATTCCGGAATAAATGCAGTTGGAGGCAAAAATGAAGTGAAACGCAATGTGATTTTAATAGAAAAACGGGGAATAACTTTAGAATATCACAAATTATGAAAAACCAAGGAAAAATGAAAACCACTCAGACACATGCGAATGATCTCAGAGCCAAGTTTAAAAACACTTACAATTGTGTTTTACTTTATTTGTTAATTTTATGATAGACACTAAGCATTTTTAGAAAGACAAAATTCACATTTTGAGGTTTTACTGGACAAATCCTTCCAGAAACGTTGAGCCCACAATAGTTTTTCACTTCATTCACTTTTCACTTTTCATAGATATATTACACATTTCATCATAAATTATACTTTTGTAAAGCTCAAATTAAATTTTAGATTTAGAAAAATTTATTTTTTCCATCCTTCTGAACAGAGAAGCAAAGTAAATAAGATCTAACTGTAGGTCTAACTGGAGTCTAACTGTAGGTCTAAACCCCTGTAGGACTAGGTCTAAATGTAGCTCTAAATGTAGGTCTAACTGTAGGTCTAAATGTATGGCTAAACATAGGTCTAACTGTAGGGCTAACCCCTGTAGGTCTAACTGTAGGTCTAAGTAGGTCTAACTCTAGGTCTAACTGTAGATCTAACCCTGTAGTTCTAACTGTAGGTCTAAGTAGGTCTAACTGTAGGTCTAAGGCGGGTCTAACTGTAGATCTAACCCTTTAGGTCTAACTGTAGGTCTAAGTAGGTCTAACTATCGGTAGAGTAGGTCTAACTGTAGTTCTAACTGTAGGTCTAACTGTAGGTCTAAGTAGGTCTAACTTCTGTAGGTCTAACTGTAGTCCTATTGTAGTCTAACTGTAGGTCTAACTGTAGGTCTAATTGTAGTCTAACTGTAGGTCTAACTGTAGGTCTAATTGTAGTCTAACTGTAGGTCTAAGTAGGTCTAACTGTAGTTCTAACTGCAGGTCTAATTGTAGGTCTAACCCTTTAGGTCTAAGTAGGTCTAACCTCTGTAGGCTTAATTGAGGTCTAACTGTAGGTCTAAGTAGGTCTAACCTCTGTAGGTCTAACTGTAGTCCTATTGTAGTCTAACTGTAGGTCTAACCTCTGTAGGTCTAACTGTAGTCCTATTGTAGTCTAACTGTAAGTCTAACCTCTGTAGGTCTAACTGTAGGTCTAATTGTAGGTCTAATTGTAGGTCTAATTGTAGGTCTACAGTAGTCTACTGGTCTACTGTAGTTAAACTACAGGTTTAACTGTAGGTTTAACTGTAGGTTTAACCGTGTAGTTCTACCCTTGGTCCTCTGCAGCGGTTGTTGTGTAACTGGACGTGCACAATAGACGCGCGCACACGTCGCTGCGGGTTCACGTTCCCCTCCGCTGCTCTCGTGAGGCCCAGCGTTGGTCACGTGACAGTGAACGGCGCACGCGCTATTGGCTGAGCGTGAGGCTGCAGTCCCGCCCGGCGCCGCTGGGGGCAGAGCAGCGGGTTCTGTCCATGGTGCTGAAGTGTCCCGGTGCTGGACCGAGCTGTGGGGGGACCGGGCCGGGTAAATGTGCCGTCGTGCGCTGTAGCGTGGAGAGCGAGAGCACCGAGGAGCGGACCGAGACCAGCGCGGACACAGGTGAGACTTGTGCGGGCAACAAAGAGGCGCAGTCCCCCCCGGGCCCCGTCAGAGCCGAGGCTGCGGATAACAAGGGCTTGTGTCGGGGGCTTATGTCCGCGGCGGATCACGGGGAACCACGGGACACGGAGCACCGCTTTCTTTACGCGTATCGGTCCCGTGCGCCGTGGTCCGTACGCGGGGGGAGCGCAGCGGCGTGAGGCTCGGGCCCTGCTCCGGTAGCCCCGCGTCGCTCCGCTGCTGTCGGCCTGTGCGGCTCGTACGCGTCACATCTGAATAATGCATAGGCCGGAGATTAGAGCGCGATGAGGCCAGCGCCGCGTCCGTGTCCCGCTGTGTCCCCGCGGCACGAGAGCGCACGAGCGCACCGACAAACACGTAACACACGTCCGTCCCGAGCGCCGAATGTTATTAAATTATTACTGAAAAATGTAAACAAGGAGCGAAGCGCGGCCCCGACATGCGCGCTCCCGTGTTTGGCCCGTGTGTGTGTGTGTATGTGCTTTTGTGTTTGTTTGTGCATGCTTGTATGTGTGTGTCTTTGTGTGTATTTGTTTGTGTGTGTGTGTTTGTTTATGTATGTCTTTGTGTGCGTGTGTGTTTGTGTGTGTGTGTCTTTGTGTGTATGTTTGTGTGTCTGTGTATGTTTGTATGCGTGCGTATGTTTGTGTGTGTTTGTTTGTGTGTGTTGTGTATCATATTTAACAGAAGTGTGTGTGTTTGGTTGTGTGTGTTGTGTGTGTGTGTTGTGTATCATATTTAACAGAAGTGTGTGTGTTTGGTTGTGTGTGTTGTGTGTGTGTGTGTGTTGTGTATCATATTTAACAGAAGTGTGTGTGTTTGGTTGTGTGTGTTGTGTGTGTGTGTTGTGTATCATTTTTAACAGAAGTGTGTGTGTTGTGTATCATATTTAACAGAAGTGTGTGTGTTTGTGTGTGTGTGTGTGTGTGTGTGTGTGTGTGTGTGTGTGTGTGTGTTGTGTATCATATTTAACAGAAGTGTGTGTGTGTGTGTGTGTGTGTGTGTGTGTGTGTGTGTGTGTGTGTGTGTTGTGTGTGTGTGTTGTGTATCATTTTTAACAGAAGTGTGTGTGTGTGTGTGTGTGTGTGTGTGTGTGTTGTGTGTATCATTTTTAACAGAAGTGTGTGTGTGTGTGTGTGTGTGTGTGTGTGTGTGTTGTGTGTGTTGTGTGTGTGTGTGTGTGTGTGTGTGTGTTGTGTGTGTGTGTGTGTTGTGTGTGTGTGTGTGTGTGTGTGTGTGTTGTGTGTGTGTGTGTGTGTGTGTGTGTGTGTGTGTATCATTTTTAACAGAAGTGTGTGTGTGTGTGTGTGTGTGTGTGTGTGTTGTGTATCATTTTTAACAGAAGTGTGTGTGTTGTGTGTGTGTTGTGTGTGTTGTGTATCATTTTTAACAGAAGTGTGTGTGTGTGTGTGTGTGTGTGTGTGTGTGTGTGTTGTGTATCATTTTTAACAGAAGTGTGTGTGTGTGTGTGTGTGTGTGTGTGTGTTGTGTGTGTTGTGTGTGTGTGTTGTGTATCATTTTTAACAGAAGTGTGTGTTCACAGGTAATGCTCCTCCGCTCCACTCCGGCTTCTAACGGGGACCAGGATCACCGAGCACCGAGGTACGACCCAGACTAATGTACCCACATATGAGTCTGTGTGTCCTCCTGTCCCTGTCTGTCCCTGTCTGTCCCTGTCTGTCCCTGTCTGTCCCTGTCTCCTGTCTGTCCCTGTCTGTCCCTGTCTGTCCCTGTCTGTCCTGTCTGTCTCCTGTCTGTCCCTGTCTCCTGTCTGTCTCCTGTCTGTCCTGTCTGTCCCTGTCTGTCCCTGTCGTCTGTGTCTTTATTGTATTTGGGGTGGACGTTTGTCAGTGTCCTTTTCACTGTTTGTGCATTTACTGTATTTATCTGTCCCCCTGTCTGTCCCTCTGTGCACCTGTCTGTCCCTCTCCCTGTCTGTCCTCCTGTCCCTCTGTCTGTCTTCTTGTCCCCCTATCTGTCCTTCTCCCTGTCTGTCCTCTTGTCCCTTTGTGCACCTGTCTGTCCTCTTGTCTCTTTGTGCACCTGTCTGTCCTCTTGTCTCTTTGTGCACCTGTCTGTCCTCTTGTCCCTGTGTGCACCTGTCTGTCCTCTTGTCCCTCTGTCTGTCCTCTTGTCCCTCTGCACACCTGTCTGTCCCTCTGTGCACCTGTCTGTCCCTCTGTGCACCTGTTTGTCCCTCTGTGCACCTGTCTGTCCTTCTCCCTGTCTGTCCCCCTGTGCACCTGTCTGTCCCTCCGTGCACCTGTCTGTCCCTCCGTGCACCTGTCTGTCCCTCCGTGCACCTGTCTGTCCCTCCATGCACCTGTCTGTCCCTCTGATCAGGACGTGTCTCTGTCTCAGATGAGCCAGGACACCACAGGGACTCGCACTCGCTCCAAAGCCATGCGCGGTGAGTCTCTGACGAAAACTTTTATTCTTCTAAAAACACCAAAAATACTCACTTCAGTACTCGCGAGGATGTGGGCGGGGATAGGGGGTGGGTGAAAACAGACATTTCCCGATCCCTCAAATCTCAAACTCAGGACAAAGATGAATCAAACGTGCAGAAAATAATCCAAATACAACTCCGAAAAATAAGTAAATAAGATTGTCAAAAGCATCAAATACACAGGTAGAACATGCAAACAGCTTCTTAAAGGAGCAATGTGTAACTTTTCCAGTTCTCTACACCAGAAAAGTTCCGCAGTGAGCTTTAATGTCTTTGCACTGACGACGTGTGTGTGTTTATGTCTCTTCCAGGCCCCTCAGGCTCCAGTGACCCCGGGGCCACGGAGCTCAGACAGGACAGGTGCGTTCACCTGCCACTCCTCCTCCATCTCTCTCTCTCCTCTCTGTCTCTCCTCTCTTCTCTCTCTCTCCTCCACTCTCTTTCTCTCTCTTCTCTTTCTCTCTGTTTTTCTTTCCTTAGTCTCTCCTCATTCTCTCTCCACTCTCTGTTTTACTGTCTCCTCTCTCTCTTTCTGTCTCTCGTCTGTCCCCCTCTTTTCCTCTCTCCTTCTCTTTCGTTCCTTCTCCTTCTATCCTCCATCTCTCTCTCCTCTCTTTCTCTCATCTCTTCTCTCTCTCCACTTTCTGTTTTTCTCTCTCCTCTCTCTCTCTGTCTCTCGTTTGTCGTCCCTTCTTCCCTCCCCCACTCTCTCTCATTCTCTCTCTTCTTCTGTCCTCCATCTCTCTCTCCTCTCTTTCTCTCATCTCTTCTCTCTCTCTCCCCCACTCTCTGTCTCTCTCATCTCTTTCTCTCTCTCTGTTTTTCTTTCCTTAGTCTCTCCTCATTCTCTCTCCACTTTCTGTTTTTCTCTCTCCTCTCTCTCTCTCTCTCTCTCTCTGTCTCTCGTTTGTCACCCCTTCTTCCCTCCCCCACTCTCTCTCGTTCTCTCTCTTCTTCTGTCCTCCATCTCTCTCTCTTCTCTTTCTCTCTTTCTGTTTTCCTTTCCTTAGTCTCTCCTCATTCTCTCCACTTTGTTTTTCTCTCCTCTCTCTCTCTGTCTCTCGTTTGTCATCCCTTCTTCCCTCCCCCACTCTCTCTCATTCTCTCTCTTCTTCTGTCCTCCATCTCTCTCTCCTCTCTTTCTCTCATCTCTTCTCTCTCTCCCCCACTCTCTGTCTCTCTCTTCTCTTTCTCTCTCTCTGTTTTCCTTTCCTTAGTCTCTCCTCATTCTCTCCACTTTGTTTTTCTCTCCTCTCTCTCTCTCTCTCTCTCTCTCTCTCTCTCTCTGTCTCTCGTTTGTCACCCCTTCTTCCCTCCCCCACTCTCTCTCGTTCTCTCTCTTCTTCTGTCCTCCATCTCTCTCTCTTCTCTTTCTCTCTCTCTGTTTTCCTTTCCTTAGTCTCTCCTCATTCTCTCTCCACTTTGTTTTTCTCTCCTCTCTCTCTCTGTCTCTCGTTTGTCACCCCTTCTTCCCTTCCCCACTCTCTCTCGTTCTCTCTCTTCTTCTGTCCTCCATCCCTCTCTCCTCTCTTTCTCTGTCTCTCATCTCTTCTCTCTCTTTCTCTCTTGCTCTGTCTTTCCTTAGTCTCTCCTCATTCTCGCTCCACTCTCTGTTTCACTGTCTTTCCTCTCTCTTTCTGTCTCTCGTCTGTCCCCCTCTTTTCCTCTCTCCTTCTCTCTCGTTCCTTCTCCTTCAATCCTCCATCTCTCTCTCTCGTCACTTTCTCTGTCTCTCGTCTGTCCCCCTCCTTCTCTCTCTCCCTCTCTCTCATTCTCTCTTCTTCTGTCCTCCATCTCTCCTCTTTCTCTCACCTTTGTCCCCCCTTTCTCTCCTCTCCTTCTCTCTCTCCGTCTCTTCTCTGTCTCTCCTCTGCCCCATCCTCTCTCTCTCTCTCTCTCTCTCAATCTCTCTTTGTCTCTCCTCTCTCTCACTCTCCATCTCTCCGTCTCTCCTCTGTCTCTCTCTCTCTCTGTCTGTCTCTCTTGTCTCTCTCTCCATCTCTCTTTCTCTGTCTCTCCTTTGTTTCTCTTTCTCTTTTCCTCTCTCTCCATACCTCCTTTCTCTTTCCCTCTCTCTCTCTCTCTCCTTCTCTTCTCCATCTCTCCTTTCTCTCTCCTTTGCCCCCCATCTCCCTTTGTCTCTCTGTCTCTCTCTCTTTCCGTCTCTCCTCTGTTCCCATCCTCTCGCTTTCTCTCTAACTCTCTCTTTGTATCTCCTCTCTCTCACTCTCCATCTCTCTCCATCTCTCTTCTGTCTCTCTTTCTTGTCTCTCTCTCTCTCTCTCTCTCTCTATCTCTCTCTCTCCATCTCTCTCTCTCTCTCTCTCTCTCTCTCTCTCTCTCTCTGTCTCTCTCTCCATCTCTCTTTCTCTCCTTTGTCTCTATTTCTCTTCTCCTCCCTCTCCATACCTCCTCTCTCTCCCTCTCTCTCTTTCTCCTTCTCTTCTCCATCTCTCCTTTCTCTCTCCTTTGTTTCCCCCTCTCCCTCCGTCTCTCCTCCGTCTCTCCTCTGTCTCTCCTCTGCCTCCATCCTCTCTCTCTTCTCTCTCTTCTTTCTCTCTCTCTCTTCTCCTCTCTCTCCATCCCTCCTCTCTCTCTTTCTCCGTCTCTCCGTCTCACTCTCTTCTGTTTTCTCAGCAGCAGTTGTCCGACTCCGGGTTGTGATGGGAAAGGCCACGTCAGCGGAAGATACGCACGACACAGGAGGTCAGAACAAACGCACAACACACACAAATACAAATACACACACACACACACAGACACACACACACACACACACACACACACAGACACACACACAAAGAGACACACACATTAAACCCGCTACATTCGCACACACAGAGAAGTCAGAGTTAAACAACCACATTTAAATCATCTCTGACCCAAAATCTCCAGTCTACAGCAGGTCAAAGAACCCAGCTGGGGGAGTTCTTCCTGTATGTTTATGGCAGTTACCATGGAGACACAAAGTACAGATTCACAAACACTGACAAAAACGTTTTTAGATTTGATTTTCACCCAAAAACCTCTGCTGATCCTGCTCCTGATCCTGTGGGCGTGTTTGTTGTGCTGCAGTGTGCTGGGCTGCCCCCTGGTGAAGAAGAGGAAGCTGGACGAGGAAGAGGAGCAGAGCGCCCCAAAAAAGAAGAGCCCGCAGGTGAAGGGGGCGGAGCCTGACGCCGACACAGGTGAGTCATGGGATTACATCATGTCACTGGAGCGTCTGTGTGAGAGGACGAGTTATAATCTGACTCCTGAAGATTATTATGTTTTCATTTGGACGTTTTAAATCACAATTTTCATCCAAAACGACTTAAAGAAAAAAATGTACTAACGTCCACGATAGGAAACTGCAACTGTATTTATCTTCTGATCTTCCTGGGTACACAGGGCCCTGTTTCAGTAGAGAAATCAGGCTCTTGTCAGAGAGAGATGTGAGAGAATGTGACTTCAGAGAGAAATGTCAGTAAATCATGTTCACACTCACTGCTCTGAACTCAAATAACTCAAATCTTTTAAATTCATAGTTCCAGAAGTTCCAGAGGAACCAGTGGCTCCAGAGGCTTCAAAGGCCTCAAAGAAATCAGTGGAAGTCCCCGAGGAACCAGAGGAACCTGAGGAACCCGAGACTCCAGTGGAACCACAGGCTGCTGCAGAACCAGAGGATCTGAAAGCTCCAGAAGAACCCAGGGACCTGGATGCTTCAGGATCTCCAAAGGCTCCAGTGGAGCCTGAGGAACCAGAGTCTCCAGAGGCTCCAGTGGAACTTGAGGAAGCAGAGGAACTAGAAGCTCCAGCCTCTCCAGCAGTTCCAGTGGAGCCTCAAGAACAAGAGTCACTAGAGGTTTGTTTGGATCCTGAAGAACAAGAGTCACCAGAGGTTTCATTGGAACCTGAAGATCCTGAGTCACCAGAGGTTTCAGGGGAACCTGAAGAATCAGTGTCTCCAGAGGTTCCAGAAGAAGAACCTGCTCCAGAGGGACTAGAAGTTCCCTATAACAATGTCCTTCCAGTTCCAGAAGTGGATCATGCTCATCTGAAGCTCACATCTGAATGTCAGTCTTCTGAAGACACTCAAGAGAACACAGAGGAGGTCCAGCCATGGGGAAGACAGGAGAACCTTGATGAAGATGTCCCTGAGGACCTACCTGAGGAGGTCCCTGAGCAGGCAGACGTAGAGCAGCAGGTGCAGTGCACTCCGCTGGACCATCAGTACTCCAGCGGAGATTACTGCCACGGGGCTAAAGACAGCAGCATGAGGCAGGGCAAAGAGGAGGAGGACGATGAGGAGGAAGAGGAGGAGGGCTTCTACCAGGACAGCCCCACCTCCCTGAGCCTCTGCAGCCAGGACTCCCACACGGAGATGGTCCTCAGAGAGAAGATCTGCACTCCAGAGCAGCAGGAGGAGGAGGAGCAGCAGGCCGAGCAGGGGCCAGAGGTGCTGGGAGACTCCAACAAGAGCTCACCTGCTACAGTCGTCATCGAGGTGCGGTCGGACGACGACGAGGAGGACGCCGGCTCCGAGGGCTCTGGGGTCACCGAGGGGTCAGGGGTCACAGAGGGGTCAGGGGTCACGGACGACTCGGACGACTGGGACATGGCCCGAGGAAACCTGCTGCTGCTGGAGCAGGCCATCGCTCTGAAGGCCGAGGAGGTGAAGGGGACTCAGGGACACAGTGGACTCACCGTCCCCCAGGGCCCACGCAGGATCCCCCACCACAGCAAAGGTACGTCTGCTCCACACATAGAAGAACATGTCAGACTGTCCTCATCTCCTGAAGAATCATTAGGCTCCACACACAGAGGAACACACATCAGACTGTTCTAATCTCCTGATGATCCATTAGAAACATCTTTATGGCTGTACTCAGTCTGAGGTCTGAAGTCTGCACAGACATCCTGGTTCTGAGGTGTTATAACAGGAACAGGAAGAGGGCAGCTGTTGTGTTCAGGATCAGTTACACATCACATTAAGTCGCTTTTAAAGCTTTTTAAAGTTGTCGATACTGGAATGTACAGTTTATGGTCTGGTGCTGTCGAAATGATCTCACTGATGTGTGTAAAATCCCTCAGTCGTCCAGGGAGAATCCGCAACAAAAGGAGAAATTCAGTTTGTCAGCTGGACAAAAGTTTATTCTGATTGAATACATTTCTCAGCTCATCCAAGCTGCTTCTTCAGTTCTGGTCAGACTCTGGTGGACACTTCCTTATACCTGCCTGCAGGGAGGAGCTAACTACACTGAAACTACTCTGAAACTAACACCCTACAGGTTTACAGTTTCTGTTAGTTAGTCAGGCCTATTGAATTTGCAGAACTTGAATAGACTTAACTAACAAACAGAAACTGTAAACAAGTGTGTGTGTAAGTTTCAGAGTAGTTTCAGTGTAGTTTCAGTGTAGTTAGCTCCTCCCTCTGACCAGAAATGAAGAAGCAGTTTCGATGAGCTGAGAAATGTATTAGACCAGAATAAACTTTTGTCCAGTTGACAAATTGAATTTCTCCTTTTGCCAAAGATCTTACTGATAGTGATTTTGGAGTGTGGGTCTGAGGAGCTTGAGGCAGACGAGTCCCTCAGGATGAGATCTGATTTAAGAGACAGTATCACGTCTCTGTTGTTTGGTGAACTGTCAGACTGACAGACCCTCGTGGGATAAAAAAAGGAAGAATTTATCAAAATGACAACAGCAGCAGTTACAGAGAAAGGGGTGATGTTTTGTCAATAGAAAGTGAATTGCAGCCAGAGTCGATGGAGCCGACTAACGCCCGTGCTCACTTCCTGTTTGAAAAGTGGTGGCTAGAGGACGAGCTTTGTCCATTTCTGTGTTTATGTCCAAGCCTCACGTCTTTTCTGACTTTGTCCTCTGTCCTTCCTTTAGATAAGAAAGAGGTGAAGTGTCCGACGCCGGGCTGCGACGGGACGGGTCATGTGACCGGGCTGTACCCGCACCACCGCAGTCTGTCGGGGTGTCCGCACAAAGACAGGATCCCCCCGGAGAGTGAGTACCACCTAACCCCGCCCCCTCCCTTCTCTCTCTCTGTCTCTCTGTCTCTCTTTAACTTTACTAACCCGTGTGTGCGGCTCTGTGCAGTTCTGGCCATGCACGAAAACGTCCTGAAGTGTCCCACTCCAGGATGCACGGGACAGGGACACGTCAACAGTAACCGCAATACTCACCGCAGGTTAACCCCACACGCTGCACACGCACACGCACACGCACACACACACACACACACATTCACACTGCTGTAATAAAGGCTTCTTAACTATTAACTTTCTCTAACTCTTTATCTAACACTTTACATCTAACACTAAGATTAACACTAAACCAAACCTGACTTATTTCATGTCTAAACTCTACAGTTCCATTGTATATTGACATAAAAACGAAGAATCAACTTTGGTCCACATTGTAAAACTGTTCGTGTGCTTTTAAATCTACAGTTAAATCTTAGTAATGTAAATTCAGTGTCAATCTTTAAAGGGACAGTCCAGAATTTTGGACATAGGAGCTCATTTCTAAGGCGCCGTCCACACTAGTTTGTATTCGAGTTGTTTTCGTTGTGGATGCAGTGTTCGTTCACACTAATCCAATGGAAAAACGGCTCCAGAGACGGAACGATCTGGTGCCTGCAGCTCCCACGAATTCACATTGGTACAGATCTGATCCGGCACCGTGTGGACGCCTGAAAACACTGATACTCTGATGTAGTTCTGTGCGCCGCGAAGTAATTCACCGCCAAAACACTAAGAGACTAGAATATATGTCCATTCATATAAACGTGTGTCTGTGTGTACGACCTGCACACGTATAATCTCTAAAAAGTTTCACATGAACCATCTCCAACACGACAGAAACACAGAACAGACTCACCATCAGCAGAACACCCCTCTGTCACAGAAAGAACACTCATATTCCACTGAGTCGTGTCCTTTAGTCCCACAGAAGCTGAACCGCATCAGTGAACAAGAGGCTGTTTTTTTGAGCTCACATGGCTCAGTTTGACCCATGTGGTTTTAAGTTTTGTTTCTGTAAAACATAAACAAATGTGCTCAAAGCTGTGAGGATAGGGAAGGATTGCAGACACAGAAACAACGTGTCTGGACGCAAATCGTTTCTGATACAGTGATACGGTGATTTGTAAACATACCCATAGTTTGGGTTGGTTGATATTAGTAAAATTTTGAAACGAGTGTGTAATTAAGGAAAATTGTGATGTTTTGGTGATTTTTAAGCAGCTTTTTTGTATTTTACCTAAACAAATGACAGTTTATGAGTCTCTTTACTGTTGACAGGGATCAAATTTGTCCAAAATAAGGACACTGTTTTGTATTAAACTTGGACAAATCAGTAGTTTTGTATAAATCTGTGGGTTACAGGGGACACTGACCTCAAAACTGGGACTGTCCCGGGTAAATAGGAACATCTGGTCACCCTAATTAATATTATCACAATGGTTATAGTGCAGATATGTAACATTTGATTATTCAATATTTAGTCTATAATGATTACAAATAAAAAAGGTTTACATTACACTTTACGTTAGTATAATATTGTCATCAGGTTTAGCCGTCAAAATAATAACAAAACCATTTCGAACAACCAAAGAAAATGGACCAAATACGGCGTCACTTTGGCACTGCCCAATTTGTGTCATTTGCCTAATTTGCATCAGTCGTGCTAAACGTTCATTTAAGTGAAAAAGAGTTCTTAAAGAAAGTTTCACAATATTTATTTTTAGAAAAACACTGGTAAAATCCTGTATCGCTGTAATCACAAAACACAAACAAATCAGTTTCTCTGCACTTCTCTGTTTGAGTTTTTTGGCTGTTAACTGTCGTGTTTACACTTACGTTGGGCTCAGATTTCACTTTAAACAAACATATTTAAAGAATAATAAAAATAAATAGGACTGTACGTGTAGTTTTGCTTCAGTAAGTGAAAAGCGCAGAAGCATCTGGACACGCTCATAGAGATTTTTCAGAGTTTGGACTCAGACTGACCTGTGTTCTCGTGTCCAGTCTGTCCGGGTGTCCCATCGCCGCGGCCAAGAAGCTGAACCGCAGCGTGAGTCAGGAGAAGCCCATGCCCTCGTCCAGCGACCTGTCCAACTCCGACCGTGTACTCAGGTCTGTACCGACGCACACTGAACACACGCTGCTGAACATGTGTTTACAGAGACGGACTGGGACCAAACAACAGCCCTGGACTTTTCCCCCACAAACAAACAGAACATGAGGAGGAGGATCATTTAAATAATTAATCATGAATAATTTCAGTAAATCACTAATGAAATAATTGAAGAAAACACACAAAGATTAACTACGTCTGAGTGTTTATTGACAAAAATATCTAAATCACTTCATTTCCAACTGACTTCGCTTTTTTGTCTTTAAATTTTTCCCATCCAACTTTCTCCTTTTTAGACCTGGTTTAGTCCTGGTTTAGACCTGGTTTAGATCTGGTTTAGATCTGGTTTAGATCTGGTTTAGACTGGTTTAGACCTGTTAGTCCTGGGTTATGTCTGAGACTTTTTGTTAGTCCTTGTTTTGTTCTGGTTTAGACCTGGTTTAGACCTGGTTTAGACCTGGTTTTTTTTCTGATGGTTTAGACCTGGTTTAGTCCTTGTTCTAGACCTAGGTTTTAGACCTGGTTTAGACCTGGTTTAGACCTGGTTTAGACCTGGTTTTTGTTTTAGACCTGGTTTAGATCTGGTTTAGACCTGGTTTAGACCTGTTCAGCCCTGGGTTTTGTCCTTAGACCTGTGGTAGACCTGGGTTAAATGTAGGTTAGACCTTGTTAGACCTGCCAGTCCTGGGTTATGTCTGTTTAGACCTTTTTGTTTAGTCCTTGTTTTAGACCTGTTTAGACCTTGGTTTAGGTTTTAGACCTTTTAGACCTTTAGACCTGGTTTAGACCTGGTTTAGACCTGGTTTAGACCTGGTTTAGACCCCTGGTTTTAGACCTGTTTTAGACCTGTTTGGTTTAGACCTGGTTTTAGACCTCGGTTTAGACCTGTTTTAGACCTGTTTTAGACCTGTTTTAGACCTGTTTTAGACCTGTTTTAGACCTGTTTTAGACCTCGTTTAGACCTGTTTTAGACCTGGTTTAGACTTTTAGACCTGGTTAGACCTGTTCAGCCCTGGGTTTTGTCTGATGGTTTGTGGTTGTCCTTGTTTTGACCTAGTTTAGACTAGACCTAGTTTTTGAGTTGAAACCAAAGAGTGACCCACTTTTCTTTGTCGTATTTTAGGCCTTTGCAGTTTATGTTTGATAAATGGGAAAACTATCGTTATAGCGCCCTCTGCTGGTAGAACCGACCCGACAGATGTTATGGACTTTTCCAGAACACACCGATTGTCAGTCCGCCCCTGACTGTTTAAAACCATTTTGTCATTTTTATGAATTTTCAGACAAACGTTTGTGCGCACTGTGTCTCTGAGGTAACTGCGGAACAATCTGCCATAGACACACATGTAGAACACCCCCAGCGTGAGGGCTCTGATGACCCGCGTTTGTCTCCGTGTGCGTTTCAGGCCCATGTGTTTCGTGAAACAGCTGGAGATCCCTCAGTTTGGCAGCTACCGGCCGAGCTCTGCCACGCCCACGCCCCGGGCCAACCTGGCCAAGGAGCTGGAGAAATACTCCAAGGTTTCCTTCGACTATGCAAGTTTCGACGTTCAGGTGTTCGGCAAAAGAACGCTCATCCCCAAAGCTCCAGGTCCCAGCACAGACACTTCACCTAAAGCCTTCAAGAGTGAGTCACACAACACACAACACACAACACACACAACACACAACACACACACACACACAACACACAACACAACACACAACATCAAAACACACACAACACAACACAAAAAAACACAACACACAACATCAAAAACACAGCACAGACACTTCACCTAAAGCCTTCAAGAGTGAGTCACACAACACACAACACAACACAACACACAAACAACACAAACAACGCACAACACAACAAACACAACACAAACACACAAAAACACACACACACACAACATCAAAAACACAGCACAGACACTTCACCTAAAGCCTTCAAGAGTGAGTCACACACACACACACACAACACACAACACACAACACAACACAACACACAACACAACACAAAAAACACAACACACAACATCAAAAACACAGCAGACACTTCACCTAAAGCCTTCAAGAGTGAGTCACACAACACACAACACACAACACACAACACAACACACAACACACAACACAACACACAAAACAACACAACAACACAACACACAACACAACAAAACACACAACACACAACACACAACACAACACAACACAACACACAACACACAACATCAAAAACACAACACAAAATTCACAACACACAACACAACAACAAACACAACACACACAACACACAACAAAAGCCTTCAAGAGTGAGTCACACACTGCACCAGTGCACACTGCACACAACAACACACAACACAGACTTTTTCACCTAAGAGTGAGTCACACACTCCACACTGCACCACCGGGAGCAGGACACAGAAGAGACCTGAATTGGCTCTAGGGTAAACCTGGTTTAGACCTGCTTTAGACCTGGTTTAGACCTGCTTTAGACCTGGTTTAGACCTGCTTTAGACCTGGTTTAGACCTGCTTTAGACCTGGTTTAGACCTGGTTTAGACCTGCTTTAGACCTGGTTTAGACCTGTCAGTCCTAGGTTATGTCTAAGAGTCTTTGGGAGTCCTTGTTTATGTCTGGTGTAGTCCTTGTTTTGGTCTGGTTTAGACCTGTTTTAGATCTGGTTTAGATCTGGTTAGACCTGGTCAGCCCTGGGTATGTCTGATGGTTTATGGTAGTCCTTGTTTTGACCTAGTTTGGTCCTGGTTTAGACCTGGTTCAGTACAGGTTTGGATGCTTTTTAGACAGTTTAGGTCTAGTTTAATAGACCCGGTTATACCCAATTTAGACCTGGTTTAGACCTGGTTTAGACCTGGTTTAGACCTGGTTTAGACCTGATTAATACCAAAACAGTACATTGTAGTAACATTCAGTTTTTTTGTCCCACAGCTAAAGTTTTCTCCAAGCCCCCGTCCCCCAGCCCGTCTGCCCCCGCCGGGTACCCCTCCGCTGGCACCCCCTCCTCTGCCGGGTACCCCATCACGGGCACCCCCTCCTCGGCCGGGTACACCTCCTCCGGCACCCCCTCCTCGGCCGGTTACTCGTCGGTGGGCACCCCGTCCTCGGCGGGCTTCACCTCGGCCGGTAACACGTCCTCAGAGTACGACTACAGCCAGGAGGCGGAGGCGGCGCACATGGCAGCCACCGCCATCCTCAACCTGTCCACGCGCTGCTGGGAGAGCGGGCAGCCGCACCCGCACCCGCCGCACCCGCCACACCCGCCTCACCAGACTCACCCGCCTCACCCGCCCACTGCCAAGGTACTCCTGCCCCTCATCGCTGTGTTTCACAAGATTCACAACATTCTGTAAAACAGACTCATTTAATACACATGGGCTTTGTTGTTTTGTTTTGATATGAGTTAGACCTGGGATAGACCTGGATTAGACCTGGGTTAGACCTGGTTTAGACCTGGTTTAGACCTGGGTTAGACCTGGTTTAGACCTGGTTTAGACCTGGGTTAGACCTGGATTAGACCTGGATTAGACCTGGTTTAGACCTGGATTAGACCTGGGTTAGACCTGGTTTTAGACCTGGGTTAGACCTGGATTTAGACCTGGGTTAGACCTGGATTAGACCTGGGATAGACCTGGATTAGACCTGGGTTAGACCTGGGATTAGACCTGGTTTAGACCTGGTTAGACCTGGATTAGACCTGGATAGACCTGGATTAGACCTGAGTTAGACCTGGGATAGACCTGGGTTTGACCTGTGGTAGACCTGGATTAGACCTGGATTAGACCTGGGTTAGACCTGGGTTAGACCTGGATTTGACCTGGGTTTGACCTGGGATAGACCTGGATTAGACCTGGTTTAGACCTGGATTAGACCTGGTTTAGACCTGGGTTAGACCTGGGTTAGACCTCATTTAGACCTGGTTTAGACCTGTCAGTCTTGGGTTATGTCTGAGACTTTTTGGTAGTCCTTGTTTTGGTCTGGTTTAGACCTGATTTAGATCTGGTTTGGTATTGGTTTAGACCTGGTTTAGACCTGGTTTAGACCTGGTTTAGACCTGTCAGTCCTGGGTTATTTCTGACATGTTTTGGTAGTCTTTATTTTGGTCTGGTTTAGACCTGGTTTAGACTTAGTTAGGACCTGATACAGACCTGGTTTAGATCTGGTTTAGACCTGGTTTAGACCTGATACAGACCTGGTTAAGATTACATTACATCATTTCCAGCTGGAAGTGATGTAATGCACACAACAGCACAAACAAAAAATAAAGAATTTATGTTTAATGGTGTTAACAGTTTGCAATTTTTAGCACGTTTTAACATATTCGGGGGGTCGGGGTGACGTCATCGGCCTAAAATAGCTAAAAACTAAGAACCAGAATAGTGAATATCTCAAAAACTAAAGCAGCACAAATGGAACTTTTTGCAGCAAAAACGAAACACAAACGACTGACATAGTTTTCGTGTAGTTTGCGTCTGATGGGGGGTCGACTTCACGGAGGTTCAAGTTTCTCGTCCCGTCTGTCATCCCCGCTGTTTTCTCTGTTTCCCTCTGAAGGACTCTGGCATCGAGGTGGACGAGAACGGGACGCTGGACTTGAGCATGAAGAAGAAGAAGGAGGAGCAGGCTGTTCCGGAGAGCCCGTACCCCCCCTCCTGCGTCACGCCCTCCCCGCTCACGCCCTCCTCCCTGCCCCCCTCCTCGCAGCACGACTGGTCCGAGCCTCTGGACTGCAGCACCACCAGCGGCGTCAAGGAGGAAGAGGAGGAGGGAGAGGAGGTCTGCTACGAGGTACGGACGCAGAAATATGATCAGACCTGAAGCTCAACCCAAGATAGTGTCGTGATGTTTTCAGTCCCACAAAAATCATTTTCTCTTCCTCAGTCCGGGTGAGCTCCTCCCACCCGTGTGACGTCTGTAATGAGCACGACGTGGAGCGTTCGGACCAATCAGAGCTGTTTGAGCAGAGCAAAACTAGAGTGTCCAGACGTTTCTATTTACCCGGGACAGTCCCAGTTTTGAGCCTATGTCCCCTGTTCCAGCAGATTTATACAACACCACTGATTTGTCCAAGTTTTATACAAGAAATGTCCCAATCTGATCCCTGCCAACAGTAAAGAGACTCGAAAACTGTCATTTGTTGAGGTAAAATACAAAAAATCTGCTTAAAAATGACCAAAACACAGAAAATGTGACTATACTGACTCACAACCACCAAAATTATTTATTTTGAAATTCTGGTCACCCTGGTCCTAAAGTCCTGCTCAAGTCCTGGTTTAGTCCAAGTTTAGTCTGAGCTTAGAACTGGTTTGTTAAGTTCTTGTTTAGATTCCAAGTGCAGAAGCTTTAACCTAGGGCATCCAGACGTTTCTATTTACCCGGGATAGTAGTTAGACAGAGTAGTGCCTTGGGTTAGCGTGACACGTTCGTTCATTCTTTGCGTCTCCTCTGTCAGGACGAGTACGTGGTTCGCTCGTACAGCTCGTCCGAAGCCGACGACGAGGAGCAGGACCCGCTGGAGGAGAGGAGGTATCCCGGGGAGGTGACCAGCAGCTGCTTCAAACTCAAGCTCCAGAGCAAAGACAGCCGCAAGGAGACGCTCGTGTGAGTGAACCAGATGCCCTCCCACTGTGTCCACTGAGTCTTATTCTGTGTAAAAGTTGCCAACCCTGCAGTTTAATCATCTACACTGTCAAATCTAAGTCGACCTTACATGAAAAAAATAAAGGAAACTGATTGGCTTGAAAAATGAGGACTGTGAATCTACAGCTGAGGTTAAGTTATTCCTCGCTTTAGTGTTGAGTAAATTCCTCTTTCATCGAACCAGGCACAGCAAGTTCAGTGACTTCAGTTTTCATTCATAGAACATTTAGTTCAAGAGTAAGTTCATCTTACTTTGTTGATTGCCTCGAATTGAGCAAGTAAATGTGACTTATTCAGGGTGAAACTGTACAAAATCACGGTTCAGTATGTACCTTGGTTTTGAGGTCAGTGTCCCCAGTGGTTGAAAATACACAAATACCCTTTCACTAGAGACAGAGGTCGCGGGTACAGGGTGCAGGACGGGGGTTTGGAGATTCCATGTCGACAAAAGGTGAAAGTGAGAACCAGAGCGCGACAGCTGTAGTTTTGTGAAGCCACACAGACTTATCAAAGTCTGATCCTGTCAGATTCAGAAGCTCAGAGGCTGGACCTGGTCTGGACTTGGATGGAGACACTGGGAAAATCAGGAGCCACAGGAGGCACCAGTCACAAAAACTGTTGTTGTGTCCTTAGGCAAGACACTTGCCTAGTTTGAAAGTGGTGTGTGTGTGCGTGAGTGATGTTGATGGTCAGAGGGACCAATGGCGCTGATTGGCAGCCTCGCTTCTGTCAGTCTGCCCCAGGGCAGCTGTGGCTGCAGCAGTAGTTCACCACCACCGAGTTTGGAGTGAATGAAAAATGCTCTGTAAAGCGTCTTTGTGACAAATGTTTGTGAAAAGTGCTATAGAAATCAAAACTTACTTAGTGGTTTGGAGGGTCGTAGTCAAATCAGGGGCAGTTGTCGTCAAGTCCTTAACTATAAAGCGCTGCAGGAAACTCTGCCCCAATCACGGACCAGCTCCTCATGAATATTAAAGAGGCGAGCCTCTGCGTAGCTGCTCATGTAGTGGTGGAATGTAAACACACACAAATTGCACAAAATCACTCGTGCACAGCCCTGCACCGAACCCAACGTCCTGAACTGAAACTGTTCAGCACAAATACATGAACCGTTACACCTCTAGTGTTTATATCCACAAGTTCAAGTAAACCTGGAAACCTACTAAACCTACTAAACCTACTAAACCTACTAAACCTACTAAACCTACTAAACCTACTAAACCTCTCCAAACATGTTTCGTATATAAATGTGTTTCTTGTGTTGCAGTTGTCCCACTCCGGGCTGCGACGGGAGCGGACACATCACCGGGAACTACGCGTCACACCGAAGGTAAAAACACGCTACAATAAACAAAACAACTAATGAATTAAAAAGTTATTCCAGGATAAAATATGATGCACAGTGTATTTTTGTGGCAGGTGGTGTTAAAGTCTGTTTTAAGGTGCAGTCTTTTCTCTTCTGACAAATCTGTTTTTCATTTTCCTTCTTTTTCTTTTCAACCTTAAAACACAGCGGGTGCATTTATCGTTTTTCTAATAATAATAATAATAAATAATAATAATAATAATAATAATGATATTTAATTGACTCTCGTGAGCGTTAAGCCTCGTTATAATGTAGTTTCTTCATCACAAACAGACCTGGAGTTGACAATCTCCACTGAACTAAAGGTAAAAGGAGCTGAAAAGTACCGTTTCGTGACATCACAAGGTGGAGCAGAGCGTTTTGAGCTTTAGAAGAGAGTAGATACAGTTTTACTCAAACGTGTGAATGAAACAAAAGCTCACGAGAGTCAGTTTTTTGTGTTTCTGGGACGAATAAATAACTTTACAAACTTGTCGAACTGAAGCCACGATACAGCCGCCTGTCACTAACCATCTGCTCTCTCTATCTGTCTCTCTCCTCTCTCCATCCTCTCTCTCCTCTTCCTCCTCCTCCGTTTCTCCTTGCCCACCCCCCCACTCCCTCCTCTCTCTCTCTTCTTCCTCTCTGTCTCCCTCTCTCCTCCCGTCCTCCTCTCTCTCTTCTTTCTCTCTCCCTCTCCTCTCCTCCCTCCCCTCTCTTCCTTGCCCTGTCCCTCTTCTTCCTCTCTGTCTCTCTCTCCCTCTCTCCTCACCTCTCCCACTCTCCTCTTCCCTCTCTTCCTCTCTCCTCTCCTCTCTTGTCCATCTCCCTCTCTCCTCTCTCTCCTTCCCTCCTTCCCCCTTTCCCTCTTCTTCCTCTCTGTCTCCCCCTCCCTCTCTCATGTCCTCCTCTCCTTCCCTCTCTCCTGTCCTCCTACTCCCACTCCCCCACTTCTTCCTCTCCTCCTCTCTCCTCCTCTCTCCTCTCCTCTCCCCCTTCTCCCTCTCTTCCTCTCTTGTCCATCTACCTCTCTCCTCTCCCCCTCTCCTCTCCCTCTTCTTCCTCTCTCCTTCCCTCCCTCCCTCTCTCATGTTCTCCTCTCCTTCCTTCTCTCCTCCTCTCCACTCCCTCTTCTTCCTCTCCTCTCTCTCCCCTCCTCCTCTCTCCTCTCCTCTCCCCCTTCTCCCTCTCTTCCTGTCTCCTCTCCTCTCTTGTCCATCTGCCTCTCTCCTCTCTCTCCTTCCCTCCCTCCCCCTTTCCCTCTTCTTCCTCTCTCTGTCTCCCCCTCCCTCTCTCATGTCCTCCTCTCCTCCCTCTCTCTCCTGTCCTCCTACTCCACTCCCCTTCTTCCTCTCTCTCTCCTCTCTCCTCCTCTCCTCCTTCTTCCTCTCTCCTCTCTCTCTCTTCCCTCTCCTCCTCTCCTCTCTCTCTCTCTCTCCCTCTCCTCCTCTCCTCTCCCTCTCCTCTCCTCTTCTCTCCTCTCTCTCTCCTCTTCCTCCTCCCCTCTCCTCCTCCCCTCCTCTCCTCTCCTCCCTCTCTCCGTCTCTCAGTCTTTCTGGGTGTCCTCTGGCTGATAAGTCTCTTCGGACGCTTATGGCGGCGCACACGGTCGAGCTGAAGTACGTCTGCTCTTTTCTCTTCTCCTCCTGTTTCTGTGATCGAGCCCTGAGCTCCAGCGGTGCCCTGTGAGCCTAACGCCAGTCTGTCTGTGTGCGTGTGTGTGTGTGTCTGTGTGCGTGTGTGTGTGTGTCTGTGTGTGTGTGCAGGTGCCCCACGCCCGGCTGTGACGGCTCTGGACACATCACCGGGAACTACGCGTCGCACCGCAGGTGAGACCGGAGCCCGGGTCTGTTCAGGGTCAAGATTTACAGTGGGAAATATTGTATTTTTCTGTACGATGAGATTTGAGCCGAAAGATCGAATTATGAACTTCTGTGTCTCATTATAGACGTAAATTAACGACTGAAGTGTTGTGTTCTGTTATTCATTTATTGAAGTTCATATTTTTTTTTACATTTTTGTACATTTAGAATATTTATGAGGCGATAACGCTCATGGGGAAAGAAAGTGTTAGATACAGTTTGTCCCTACAGTCGAAATCTATGGTTTAGACATTTGTGCTGACTGTGCGTGTGTGTGTGTGTGTGTGCGTGTGTGTGTGTGTGTGTGTGTGTGTGTGTGTGTGTGTGTGCGTGTGTGTGTGTGTGTGTGTGTGTGTGTGTGTGTGTGTGTGTGTGTGTGCTGTGTGTGCGTGTGTGTGTGCGTGTGTGTGTGTGTGTGTGTGTGTGTGTGTGTGTGTGTGTGTGTGTGTGTGTGTGCGTGTGTGTGTGTGTGTGTGTGTGTGTGTGTGTGTGTGTGCGTGTGTGTGTGTGTGTGTGTGTGTGTGTGTGTGCGTGTGTGTGTGTGTGTGTGTGTGTGTGTGTGTGTGTGTGTGTGTGTGTGTGTGTGTGTGCGTGTGTGTGTGTGTGTGTGTGTGTGTGTGTGTGTGTGTGTGCGTGTGTGTGTGTGTGTGTGTGTGTGTGTGTGCGTGTGTGTGTGTGTGTGTGTGTGTGTGCGTGTGTGTGTGTGTGTGTGTGTGTGTGTGTGTGTGTGTGTGTGTGTGTGTGTGTGTGTGTGTGTGTGTGTGTGTGTGTGTGTGTGTGTGTGTGTGTGTGTGTGTGTGTGTGTGTGTGTGTGTGTGTGTGTGTGTACAGTTTGTCAGGATGCCCACGAGCCAAGAAAGGAGGCGTCAAATCCACCCCGACCCGAGACGAGAAGGAGGACTCAGAGCTCATCAGGTCAGATCTTTCTTCTCAAATATAAATATTCGTGCTGTCAGTCGATTTGTCGATTGCAAACCAGAAAAATTGTCAGTGAGACAATTTTGTCATTGAAGTTCCCACTGTGGGTGAAAAAATGAGCTGTGACCTGAGGAAGTTCTCATGACAGAGGGACGTCCAGTCATCTTCAGTTAGACAAACTGTGTTTGTCCAAACTCTGCTGGACTAAGGGTGCACATCTGAACCGAGCCACAGCCGATGACACGTCGCTGTTTGCAGCAGAGTGAACACTTTTAGTGGAGAAAATAAGTCCAGCAGCAGAAGTATCTGTTACATAGTGAGACAGATGTGAGTCCTGCTGCGACACTCTCCTCTGTGAGTTTATGGACATGAAAACAGTCTGACAGTCTGTCACAGTCTTTATCGAAGGTCAACGTGGATTCGCCGTATGTTTTGGAACGGAGTTTATTTTGTGAATAACATCAGCTCACCTGACAGGACTTCTCAGTTTTGTACTAACAGTTACAGCTTATGAAAAAACTAACAAAGAGCGTTAATCTTGTGATTAAAAAACTAACGCTGTTTAAACAGTTTTGGGTCAACTCGTTAATAACGTGATGTTTCTGTCAGCACTAGTAAATACAAACCTGTGCTGCCCCCTGCAGGTGCCCCGTGCCCGGCTGTGACAGTATGGGCCACATCAGCGGGAAGTACGCCACTCACCGCAGCGCGTACGGCTGCCCCCTGGCGGCGCGGAGGCAGAAGGAGGGTCTGCTGAACGGGATGCCCTTCTCCTGGAAATCCTTCAAGAGCGAGGGCCCCACCTGCCCCACGCCGGGCTGCGACGGCTCCGGCCAGCTTCCTACGTAACGCAGCCAACGGCAGCACACACACTCACACACACTAAACACACACACACTAAACACACACACACCAAACACACACACAGCCACACGCACGCACACACACTAAACACACACACTCAACGCACTCACACACACACACACACACACACACACACACACTAACACACACACTCACACACACACACACCACACACTTCTGTCTGCCCTTAGTTGAGTTCTCCGTGATGCTGTTTGCATTATTATTATTATTCTATTATTCTTATTATTGAGTTATTATGACATAATCGTGGCTCTTGTTGTGTGTCTCAGTTTGTCCGGTTGCCCTCGAGCCTCAGCCAATAAGAAGAGAGCCAAACTTCAGGGAGACGACTTCATGACGGCCAAGTTCAGAGCCAGTGACGGTGAGCAGCACACGGGGCTGTGAGGCTTATGTTTTTGTTGGAACTTTAGCCCCGCCCACGTAGTCCTTCCTGCCTCTGTGATATTGCATCATGACACAGAAACTTGTCTCTCTGGGAACTATCAGACACTTGTGCCCTGATTCTAGACTCAGACAGCTCATGGTACAGCTCTTCTTTAGTGTTGGGGAGTATTTTATAGTTTTAGTAGTGAGAGGAGTTCAGAGTGTGGGCGGTGTAGTCCTGTGGTGCTGGTAGAGATGCTTTAGATCAGTTCAGTTGGATTCTACTTTTGCTGGAAGTTGGAGCACTTTTCCTTCAGTAAATAAACTGTTATTGCTTGACCACTGTGTCTCTGTGGAGTCTTCAAAGACGCTGACCACACCCGCACACAGAGCTCTGGTCGTCTGTGAGTGTCACAGCAGTAAGACCGGTCCCTCACTGCTCTGCTGCTGGACCGAGTGCAGTTTAAACCCGGGGTCATAGTTCTCACATCTCTACTAGGGCCTGCTGATATGAATTTTTTTTTGCAGCCAGTATGATACTGATAAAATGAGATTTGGGGATGTCGATATAAAAGCTAATATATTTAGTGGTGTAAAAATTCACTGTAAATCATCAACTGATTATAAAACTTAGGTTTGGCTCTAGTACATTTTAAATTAGGTTTATTTAGGCAACATTTATTGTTATTCTGCTTCTTTACGTCAAATTTACAGACAGTAGGTCACATTCTAGTCTGTAAACAAAGTAAGTTAACTACTGCTATGAGTCTTGAGCCGTAAATGCGTGCAGGCTGCGGTAATTAATTATGTGTAAATGCACACCATTCACACCTCTATTCTCAGCTCATTTACATATCAGGGCAGGGCCAGTAACATGATGTGAGCTACAGCAGCTTAACAACCAAAAATAACTAAAAGTAGCTTCAAAACTAACACAGCTGCATCACTCAGCCTCACACCGGCTCCTCTCAGATCACAAATCTGCACTAATAAGTTTGGTAAAAAACAGCAGTAGTTTTGTTTCTGGCCTAAACTGTGCTGAAGTTCACTTTTATTTATTGTCAGTTTCATGGATCAGACATAAGAGTCTTTAAAACAGCATCTCAGTGTTGTGCATGTGGACGTTGTAAACAAACGCACGTGAGTGATGTGACTCTGGTGGTGCGTTCAGGAGCAGTACGGCCACAGACACAGACAAATGATTCTGCAGAAAAATCCTGATGCGGTGCCACATATTTGGACATTTATCTGTCTGTAAATTGGATTAAATGAACATAATGTAGAAAGTCTAAGATTTATAACAAGTTAAAACATGCCCATGTGGAATATCGGCCAGATCAGCAAGATTTAGGATCGCTGATATGATTCCAAGTGCCCATATCGGCTGATAATATCGGCCAACCGATATATCGGTCAGGCCCTAATCTCTACTGCTGTTTGCTTTATTTGTCTGGGACAGTGTGAGGCAGTGGTTGATTCTTAGTAACAATGATCCTGATTGGATGAAAAGGTGACCGTGTCTGTAGCTTCTGTGTTCGTTCTTACCACAAAACCACAATGAGCAGATTATATTTTAGTGTCTCGGTTTGGCCTAACTGTGTGTGTGTGTGTGTGTGTGTGTGTGTGTGTGTGTGAAATCTAGGGGTAATAATGGACTCAGACTTGAACTTTAACAGCCACATCAAATCAATAACATCTGCAGCCTTTTACCATCTAAAAAACAGCAAAAATCAAAGGTTTACTGTCTAAATCAGACGTGGAGAAACTTATCCATGCGTTTGTCTCCAGTAGGTTAGATACTGTAATGTTCTGCTCACTGGTCTCTCCAAACGAGCTGTGAGACGCTGCAGAACATCCAGAACATCCAGAACATCCAGGACGCTGCAGCTCGGGTCCTGACTCGAACTAGGAAGTACGAGCACATAAGTCCTGGTCTCAGGTCTCTGCTCTGGCTCCTGTGGCTCAGAGACTTTAAAGTGTCTCTGTTTGTACAAGTGTCTCCATGGCCGAGCACCAAAGTCCATCTGTGACATGTTAGTGTCATATGAACATCTCACACTCTGAGGAGCTCAGGGACCAACTCCTGCTGGTGCCCAGAGTCACGACTAAACAAGGGGAGTCAGAGTTTCAGGTTCATGCAGCTAAAACCTGGAACAGTCTGAACATGTGAGACAGACTCTTCTGTGACGCTGTTTAAATCCAGACTCAAAACATTTCTGTTTAACTGTGCAAATAACTGAAAGGTTTTCATTCCGCACTCTTCTCTCCAATTTATGTCTCTCTTTTTTCATTTTAATCTTCATGAATATTTATGTTTTGATTTGTTTTTTTATTATGATTTTAATGTATTTCTTATTCTGTAAAGCACTTTGAATTACTTTGTGTACGAATTGTGCTGTACAAATAAACTTGCCTTGTCTTGTGTGTGTCGTCAGTGCTGGACAACGACGAGGACATCAAACAACTGAACAAAGAAATCACTGAACTCAACGAGTCCAACTGTGAGATGGAGGCCGACATGGTCAACCTGCACACTCAGGTACTGCGCCTTTTCCTGCTCTGGTCCTGACGCCCGGTGTGAGGACGTCCGTGTGTGCGTCGGTGTCGCTGAAGAACGTCTCTCACTTGTTCTTCTTCTTGTTCTTGTGGCAGATTTCCACGATGGAGAGGAGCCTGAAGAACATGGAGGAGGAGAACAAGCAGATCGAGGAGAACAACCAGGCCCTGTACCTGGAGCTGTCGGGCCTGAGCAGAGCCCTCATCCACAGTCTGGCCAACATCCGGCTGCCCTCTCTGGTCAGTACAGACTAAAAGCACTCACGCCTCACAGCAAGAAGGTTCTCCCGGGGCTTGCATGTTCTTCCTGTGTCTGTCTGAGCGTCTCGGGGCCCCCTGCTCTCAACCGTCAACCTAAAACCTGACGTAGTCCTGGTTTAGTCCTGAAGTAGTCCTGATGTAGTCCTGGTTTAGTCCTGAAGTAGTCCTGATTTAGATCTGGTTTAGTCCTGATGTAGTCCCGGTTTAGTCCTGATGTAGTCTTGGTTTAGTCCTGGTTTAGTCCTGATGTAGTCCTAGTTTAGTCCTGATGTAGTCTTGGTTTAGTCCTGATTTAGTCCTGGTTTAATCCTGATGTAGTCTTGGTTTAGTCCTGGTTTAGTCCTGATGTAGTCCTAGTTTAGTCCTGGTTTAGTCCTGATGTAGTACTGGTTTAGTCCTGATGTAGTCCTGGAGTCCTGGTGTAGTCCTAGTTTAGTCCCGACGTAGTCCTGGTTTAGTTCTGATGTAGTCTTGGTTTAGTCCTGATGTAGTCCTAGGTTTAGTTTAGTCCTGTTTAGTCCTGATGTAGTCCTAGTTTAGTCCTGATTTAGTCCTGGTTTAGTCCTGATGTAGTCCTGGTTTAGTTCTGATGTAGTCCTGGTTTAGTCCTGATGTAGTTGTTTAGTTGGTTTAGTCCTGATGTAGTCCTGATTTAGTCCTAGTTCAGTGCTGATGTAGTCTTGGTTTAGTCCTGGTTTAGTCCTGATTCAGTCCTGATGTAGTCCTAGTTTAGTCCCGACGTAGTCCTGATTTAGTTCTGATGTAGTCCTGGTTTAGTCCTGATTAAGTCCTAGTTTAGTCCTGATGTAGTCCTGGTTTAGATCTGGTTTAATCCTAGTTTAGTCCTTATGTAGTCTTTGTTTAGATCTTGTTTAGTCCTGATATAGTCCTGGTTTAGTCCTGGTTTAGTCTCTTTTTTTGTTAATTTTATGATGATTATTTCTGTTCTGATTTATTTGTTTTGTGATTTGAACGTCTTTCTTTTTCTGTAAAACACGTTGAATTACTCTGAGTACAAACTGTGCCACGGAAACAAACGTGCCTCTCCTCTCCTCCGGTCGAGATCCTGACCGTCTCTTCTGCGTCCGTTGTTTGCGCAGGAGCCGCTGTCGGAGGAGAACTTCGAGCGCTACGTGGACACGCTCACCGACATGTTCTCCAACAGAGAGTGCTACCAGAACCCGGAGAACCGCGCCCTCCTCGAGTCCATCAACCAGGCCGTCAAAGGCATCGCCGTGTGAGGACCTGCCCCAAAAAGACCCGCCTCCTCACCGCAACCTCCTCCCTCCCTCCTCCCTCTGATCCCTCGCTTCTCTCACGCCTTTGTTCCTTTATCACTCTCCGTTTTTTTTCTAATTTACTTCTCAACTCCTTTCTCTACTTCTCCTCCTCCTCCTTCTTCTTCTCTCCTTTGCTCATTTATCGTCTCCTTCCTTCCTCTCCTCCCTCTCTCTTGCAGCACTTGTTCCCGTGTGTTTTCTCTCCGTTTGCATGTTCCTTTAGCGAGTGAGTGTCGTCGCGTTTCCACTGGTTTACACGGTCCTGGGAGAGTCCGGAAAAGCGGATCTCTCCTGCCGACAATCCAAGAAAAACTACGAGGGGCTTCAAAGATGAGTTAAAAAAAAACAAAAACAAAACAGCGCGTCGCCGGGAGGGTTTTCCATGAAGCGAGTTAAAGCGAGAGTCTTGGTTTATTTGCTCAGTCCAGGTTTATCGAAGCCTCAGTTCCACCAGAGTCGACCCGAGTTGCCGCAGAAACAAGCACCCGGGAACAAACTGCCGAGATTATTTTAGCTCCGTCTCCGAGAACGTCTGAAGAAACACTTTAGTCAAAAGTTTCAGCTCGAGCGTCACAAACCTGAGTCACAAAAACACCTGCGTCTGTGTGATGGAGTTTAAAAAATGACTTTTAGAATCGCGCGTCGCTGGAGATTTTTACAACTCGTGTGTGGACGCTGCACAAACCGTTTAAAAGCCCGTGGTCATGATTTCAGTAAAATCCTGTTGCACGTGTGTTTGTTGTGAGGAGCAGAGCAGCTTTTCCACACACACAGACGCTGGTTTGGACTCGGAGGACGACTGTGGTTCAGCATAGATTCAACTTCAGGTCTGAATTATCTTTGGTCAGACTTTTATTTCTGTCACAGAATGAGTTGAGGAGGCTTAAACTGGAGATGGAGTGAGATTCAGTTTAGGATTTCAGGATAAGCCCAGTCAGTCCGGCGCCACCTAGTGCCTCCGCTCAATTTCATTTCTCTCCAGCGACTAGGTCAGGAATCAGAACACACTAGACGATTTGTAAGAACCCCAAGTTCAGAGCACCAACCAAACAGCAAAGAGACATATATTCTGTTTTGTCAATAATTCCCCAGTTTGAGGATTTAAAGCCAGAACAAAGAGAATGTTTGTTGAATTTCATCAAGGGGAAAGACGTTATTGTCCTTCTTCCTACGGGATTTGGGAAAAGCTTAATATACCAGTTAACCCCGTTAGTGGAGCATTACAAATGTCACGACCAAACAGCAGCGATTGGTTAAATGATGAAAAGTACCCACATACTGTCGAGCGAACGAATCCTAACCCCGAATTCACACCAGGAGCTGCAGCAGCGCTTCACGTAGGCGGAGCTGCACATATGCGTCAATTTGAAAGTTTCAGTTCACACCAGAGCGTCAGAGACGCTCCTGCTGCAGCTGCACATCCTCTCACTGTTTTCAGACATCACATTTTGTACTTGCTTTCATCATTTATTTTATGTTAAAGTGTATTAAGTGCATTGTGAATTAAGTGTACAACTGCAACGCATTTGCATTTAATCAGGTTTAAATCTATTAACACAAACATTAAACACCTCAGGGTTTTTTTTTTCCATAATAAGGTAAAATCACTTATAATTAACAAACATTATGAGTGTGATTAAAATCTTATGTCCGTCCAGGTAATAAGGCTGATACATTTATATGTGGATACAGAGTCCTGCACTGACGGATACGGGCAAAAAGTCGCTGAAACGGGCGAGTTTTAACGTTCTGGAATTTTAAGGGTGGGTCAGGACTAAACCAGGACTACAACAGGACTAAACCAGGTCTAAATCTGGTCTAAACCTGGACTAAACCAGGACTAATCTTGGAGAGAGAGAGAGAGAAAGCGAACCCTGAGCCCAGCGGAGCAGTGTGTCCGAAAAGAGCAACAGCTGCACGTACCTCCTAATCTCCGAGTTCTGCACCGGTCCTTTCGCCCGCGGTCCTTTGGGTCTGCACAGAAGGACCTCCGAGCACATTCAGACAGTGAGTCCTGGTTCTGGTTTAGTCCTGGTTTAGTCCTGGCTTAGTCCTGAGTCCTTGTAGAATTGGAGTCTGTCATCGTAAATTATGTTATATTTCTCCACTTCGAGGATTAACTTTTCGTTGTCCATCTTTAATCTTTCCTTGGACACAGTGCGCGTTGTTTACGTCGCTGTCTTGACTTTGGTTAAATTATTTTGAAAGGGCATTGGAGGTTTATTTTTGTTTATTTCCTGTCTTTCCCCTGCTAAAAACCTTGGAGACGCACCATTGATGCTGCAAAATTAGAACTCCAACCTCTGGAGCAGCACGTCAGCGTCAGACGCTCGTTGGACGTGTGCATGACACTGTCGGTGTTCCACTGTCAGACCGGTTTAAATGGAGTTTTAAAGCAGCGCGTCTGCTGCTCGTGAGCTGTGCTGCTGCGTTTACGTACTGTTGCGCTTTGGTGTGAATTGGGGGCAACACTTTGAGGTCAGATGGTTTCTACAAAGTGAAACCGGTTGATGAATCAGGTTTGGATAAGTCTGGATTTGTTCAGCGACTCTCATGGAAAACCTCCCTGGATCTTTTCGTTACGTTTGTGCTTCGAGAATCAAAACTTCAGGCTGAAAAAGTTGAATTAGAAGTTGAAGTTGCCCACATGTGAAGAAGCTCTGGTGTGTGACTCGGTGGTAGAGCAGTGGACATGCGCCGTGTGTGTGTGTGTGTGTGTGTGTGTGTGTGTGTGTGTGTGTGTGAGAGTGTGTGTGTGCGTGAGACTGTGTGTGTGTGTGTGTGTGTGTATATGAAGAGCTCCTACTGATTAAACTGTGACTAGTTTTCTATGACGCTGTTTCACCATTAGTTTGTAGATTCACTTGTTACTGTTACTGTGTAAAATGTCCAACTATTATTCTTCTTATTCTTCTTATTATTATTACGATAAACTATTTATTTCTTATTTATACGTTTACATATTTATTACAGTATATTATGACTCACTCATTTTAAAGGGACCGTGTGACGCCGATGTTTTTTTTTAAAATCTGTGTTTTAATGTCGTTTCCTCGTCGCAGTCAGACCTGGAGTTGTGTTTGTTTCATTCACGTTTAACTCACAAACCCTGAATATTCAGGCTGAGTTCTTCTCCCAAACTGTAATCGCTTTGTTCCACCTTGTGACGTCATCAAGTGGTAATACAGGAAGCGCTCCACTGCGTTTTTTAAACTCCTGTACATCTTCACTAGAATCATGTACACAGCAAAAAGTGGAGTCTTAAAATGGACTCTCACAAAATCAATTTTTTAACATTTTCTAGCATTCTTTTAGCGAAACAACACACAGCAGTGTTTTTATTTTTACACTTTATTTTAGTTAATTTTAAATGAAATTATGAATAAAACTGTGTCAAACTGGTCTACTCTCGTCAGAGGTGCCAAATTAACACTAGAGGAAGTTGAATTAACACTAAAGGAAGTTGAATTAACACTAGAGGAAGTTGAATTAACACTAAAGGAAGTTGAATTAACACTAGAGGAAGTTGAATTAACACTAGAGGAAGTTGAATTAACACTAAAGGAAGTTGAATTAACACTAGAGGAAGTTGAATTAACACTAAAGGAAGTTGAATTAACACTAGAGGAAGTTGAATTAACACTAAAGGAAGTTGAATTAACACTAGTGGAAGTTGAATTAACACTAGGGGAAGTTGAATTAACACTAAAGGAAGTTGAATTAACACTAAAGGAAGTTGAATTAACACTTGTAGAAGTTGAATTAACACTAGAGGAAGTTGAATTAACACTAATGGAAGTTGAATTAACACTTGTAGAAGTTGAAATTAACACTAGAGGAAGTTGAATTAACACTAGAGGAAGTTGAATTAACACTAGAGGAAGTTGAATTAACACTAGAGGAAGTTGAATTAACACTAAAGGAAGTTGAATTAACACTAGAGGAAGTTGAATTAACACTAGAGGAAGTTGAATTAACACTAAAGGAAGTTGAATTAACACTAAAGGAAGTTGAATTAACACTAAAGGAAGTTGAATTAGCACTTGTAGAAGTTGAATTAACACTAGAGGAAGTTGAATTAACACTAGAGGAAGTTGAATTAACACTAAAGGAAGCTGAATTAACACTAGAGGAAGTTGAATTAACACTAGAGGAAGTTGAATTAACACTAAAGGAAGTTGAATTAACACTAAAGGAAGTTGAATTAACACTAAAGGAAGTTGAATTAACACTAAAGGAAGTTGAATTACACTTGTAGAAGTTGAATTAACACTAGAGGAAGTTGAATTAACACTAGAGGAAGTTGAATTAACACTAAAGGAAGCTGAATTAACACTAGAGGAAGTTGAATTAACACTAGAGGAAGTTGAATTAACACTAAAGGAAGTTGAATTAACACTAAAGGAAGTTGAATTAGCACTTGTAGAAGTTGAATTAACACTAGTGGAAGTAAAATTAACACTAGAGGAAGTTGAAATTAACTTCAACCATATCAACTCTGGCAAATAACCACAACTCAAACCCCGATTTAACTTTTAAATCGTTTAAAATGACACTTTTTGAGTTACGTTACGACGCTACGAGAAAAAAACGATCTCGTGAGATTTTTATTCAAATTTTTTCACAGTTGCCTTGGATTAAAAAAAGGGTTAACGTTGCTGAAGATGAGACGTAGTTCCAAAAAAACAACAGTGACAAAAAACTGTATATAAAATCAAATAAATCAAAAATTACGAAGCCAAACTCGTGAACTAAACGGTACGAACAAAATCTGGTCCTTGTTTCATTCTCGTGGACCAAATCTGAGCCTCGTCGTTTTGATTTTAAAATGTTCGTATAAACTCTCTCTGCGTGATTCTGTTTTTTTCGCTTTTTTTTTCCGCTGTGGGTGACGTCACACTCGCTTCGTTCACTTTTTATACAGTCTGACGCAGGTTTACTCAAACGTGTGACTGAAACAA